ATATATATATATATATAATATTGTTGGATGGAACACATGACAAAAACACCGGAAACAACTTAGTAGCTTATTGAGGTGCTCTGTCTACGTGCGACTCGATCAACCCATTTACTAGCCTTCAAGCCTTAGTAGCCTTAAAGCTTGACTCGACTCTTTGGGAGCTTCCAACATGGGCGACCCCTTAGTCCAGATATCTTAGTCCAGATACCAAGCTTTTTGGAAGTGAGTTCCTGTGACGCAGCTTCTTTGGATCATGTATTGTCTGGGCTTTGCTTGGTTTGGCTTGACATTCAGCGACGGCACATTGGTCAAACACCTGGCGGCAGATTGGTTTCCTAAGTCAACATTGCCACAAAAAGGACCACTCCATGCATGTTGCTGAAACATCAAAAGCAAAAAAGCGTTCGCCTGCCACGAATAGTTGCTATCCTGAAAGTTGCACTTCCCATATGGGTGTGTCTCGAAATGCCGCATTTGCACCCAAATTCTGCTTTCTTCCTCATGGTTCTTCCTCACATTTCGCTGAGTTCGGGTCAACCCATCAATTTCATCTGCCTTGCATGGTGCGAAGGAACTTCTCGAAGGAGTGCTCTTGAAAATCCCGCCAATCAGTTGGGATGTTTCGCCCAGGTCGACAGCATGCAAAGTGGGCCATTTTTTGCAGAAGATGCGCCGTAGAATACGGGCAGGTCGCCTCCGCAAACGCGCAGAATTGTGGGCTTTCTGCGGAAGAAACCCTACATATTCTGGTTGGTGGCTTCAACTCACTTGAACAATCCTAGATTTTCAGTGGGATCAATCATTTCAAGCAGAACATATATTCTTTCTTTGCGAGCTTTCCGTGGTCTTGGACCACCAACGTTTTCAAGTAGAAATTCCAAAACCCTGGTAGGTGCCCCACATGATCACTCATGGTCGACCCGTTTCAGCGAATCTAGCCGTTTCAGGACGGGGAGCGAACCGGTGCTCGGTCTGTACCAGGGCCATACTATACCTAGACCATGCAGCTCTCCTACCCTATATTGAGTGGGTATTCATAATAGCAAGAACCCCTCCACTTCGACCTGCAGGACAAGCACAAACAAAGGAAGGTCCCCCCTATTACAGTGGTTTCAGAGTTTATGGCACATGCTCATGCACATGTCATCAAATCTCCTAATCAAATGGATGTCCAGGTATAAACCACCCAACTTGGGGATCTCAATTTACTACAAAAAAAGAGAACAGTGGTTTCAGAGTAAATAGCACCAACCCCTACATGTCCCAATAATCAGATTATGGTGTCCAGATATTGTTTATTTATATAAACCATGTAACTTGGGGGCCCTTGTGCCATCTACTCTCAATCCACTAACAAAAAGCAAAACATGTCTAGGAGAGGAGAGAAGGTTAAGCACGGCAGCTGACATAAAATTTAACAACCCCTCACCTGACGGGTGGGGAACAAACAGAACCCAATGTCTGGGCTTCTGACCGCCGACACGTCTCATCTCCGTGTCTCATCGTGCTGTGCCTCGTGGCGAGTGATGCTCCGCCACGTCAAGTTGATGCGAGGCCTCGAGTGGATCCGGTGCCGGGCGCGAGACATCGAGAGTGGGAGCCAGGATCTGTGAATATCAGGTGAAGAGATGTGAATAGGACCCTTCATTAACAACTGACATGTATGTTGCAAACAGTATGTTGCAAACAGTTGCAATTAAAGCATCTTTAGCTACATGGAGCCTTTGAGTATCTTTGACTGCTAGCTGTGGAGGACATGAAGTCTGAACTTCAGATCGAGGGCCCGTCCAAAAATAAGACTTGTTGTTGTTGATGTGTTTCACTTTAAACTCTACATTAGTTATATACAAGCTTTTGTGTGGAAAACCATGCGTGTTTGTGGTCTAGAAATCTCTTCTAGATAATAAACTGGTAATTTTCAGAGAATCAACGTTCTGGCATGCCAAAACTTTGGGTGGCGTAATGTATTGTTGTCCCTTTCCAAAAATGGATAAACATTGTATAATGAACGAAAAGTCGATCAAGCAACCTACATTGTACATAAGCTAGAGCCCATGTGCATGCTTTTTGCTGGGGAGATACCATATTTAAAGGTCACTGAGGTTCTAGGTGCAAAACATAAGGCGGGCATGTAGCATGCACTTGCTTACCTGCAACAACCATCGGCCTACTATTCATCATCCTAGTTCTAGGATGTTCTACTGTAGGATGTTCAAGTTGCTTTCTTGGGAACATCTTCCTCTTTTCACCAGGAACTGCCATTTTGTCGCCGCGGTCTGCTGGCTCGACCTCGCCTCGTCACCCCGGCGGCTTTGGGAACACGGTGGTACCAGTGCTTCTGAAAACACCCCTGGCGCCAGCGCTGCAGGATTTCAAAAAAAACGAGACGGATCGAAAAGGGATAACCACCCCTCACTTTTTTAGGCCCATAACTTAACACAAGGTGCTGTACACATCTGTTTCCCCAAGATGCTGACTGTTCCCAAGTCTAAGTTGCTGCACAGCTACCTCTTGTGCCCCCAACCAATGAATTGGTCGTGCTTCGTTCCTACGACAAACCGACAGGTGTTCTAGGTTCATGTTGAAACACCCAAAGCCACGGAGGGACAGCACACTGGTTTTGGAATCGGGAGCTGCTGTTAGCACACAATTCAAACGTGCTGGAACACTCCCGCTGTGTTGTGAAGGACACTCCCGCTGTGTTTCAGCATGTTGTTTGACCAAGAGCAGGTCTTTCATAATTAGGACATGCCATCAATCAGTCGATATATACCAGGACCTTCCAACAGGTGGTTTTTGGACACCCCTTAACCACTAAGAGGCTATTTATAGACACCTCTTGGAAGGTCCTGGTATACATATATATACATATAGTTATTATATAATGTATAGTATAATGTATATATATATACATATGTAAATAGTAACCATCCATCAAGTCAAACTGTTTGAAGTTCGGAGTAGATGCAAACAGTTGAATACAGGATGTGCAACAACCAGACCGGGCTCATTTGACAGCTAAGTCGACAATGATGTCAAACTCTCGGCAGTCCTGCCTCCATGGTGATAAGGTCTCCATTGTGTAAATCAATGGATAGTCGATCCACGTGCTGATATGGATTGCCTCAGCTGGATTATGCAGAAAAATTTGATTACTGAAGAAGAGAAGACAAGGGAATCCTCATTTGTAGGACTATAGCGTGGCTATAGGGTTTGCTGCTTGCATGAAACTAAAGATCATCCAAACATCTGGAGCCAATGAGCCCCAAAGTCACTTGCAAGGTACACTGTTACCACTGTTTTTGTTGTACATGATGATCCATGTCACAAAAATGCCCAAGGAACCTCCAACGAACCGCTAACAAACACCTTTCCACATCCAACAGCAATTGCTCCCAGCACCCAGTTGGGGTAGGAAAAACGCCAACAACGCACGGTTTCCACTCGTAGATGAAAGTCTCCGAAGGTGTCCATCCAATTCACCCAAAACTTCTCAAAGTGCCCTGAACTCCTCTTCGTCCTCTCCCCCGTGGTCCTCGAACGCCGCCTCCGTGCCGAGCGCCCGTGCCCCTTCCGCGTCGCCGCCGCAAGTCGAAGCGGCGGGTCTGGCGAGTTCGGCGAAGCGGAGCAACGAAGATAGGGAATTCTTACAGTGGTTTCTGGCTGTAGAAGTCCAAAGACGACTTATTCACCTTGCATGCTCAGGGGAATTCCTGACATCGGATCACCGAAAGACCATCCTGAAAACAGTGGTTTCAGAGATGGTACTGACACCCCAAGATGTCTTTTATAGGATTCTGCCATCTACTCAGAAACCACTGTAACATGCCCTACGGATCCACATATCCCCTTTTCGGTCATTGGACAAACACCTATAGTCGAAGGTGGTCGAACCTGAGAGGTGTGGATTCGTAGATCTCTTAGGATCAGAGTGGATCGCCATGGTCTTTGGTGATCCATCCTTTCCTCTTGTACTTCACTTCGGAAGAAACCATCGGAGTGTTGTCACAGACCGAGACGCTCCGACTCCGGAGCCGTTTTGGTCCGAAACCAAACCCTAGGTACCTAGCGCGGTGAAGCGGTTTTTGCCACCGATTTGAGTGACGGTGTCCCCTTTCTACCATAAAATATAATGATTTTAATGGCTGTCCACCTCCTGGGTAGGAAAGTGGACACCACTGGCTTCGGTGCGAGCGGAGGGACTGAGGGCTGGATGCAAAGGCTCTAAAAGTGATAAGTGGAGGCAAGGATCAAATTCCATGATTCTTTCACACAGCACCAGTTTGCAAGGTGGCAAATGAAGCCTTCAACATGGGACAGACAGCACTCCACATGATTGAATCATTGAATCTATATCAAAGGTGGTCCTTCGAATGCTGTCGATTCTGGGTCTATCATCACCCAGCTGGAGCCGGGAAGATCTGTTCCATGACCTGACATGCAGCTTCCGTGAATGCATGCACTTCCTGTTTCGTCATATGGAAGCTCACCGTTCGTCCAAGCGTGCTGCATGTGCAGCTGCAGATCTTTGCCCCCTTTGGGACATTGAACAGAACATCAACGCCCGGTTGATCAAGGGATCCCACATCCGGTGGTTGGTTTCGGGAGTCCAACGACCGGATGTGGGTGGTGGGAGCCCGAGAGGGAACACCTGTTTCACGTCCACTCTAGATGATGTAGGGAGACTCAATCTGTTCATAGTCCCATCACATCCAAAGTCGGTGTTTCCCACCTCATGTTTGTTGGTCTATATATATATATTATATGAACAAACACGGTTTACCAGAACCTGCCCATACACAATCGATCTCTGCAGGCTGAGATATTTTATTCATATTTGACTATTCGAGCTACATGTACTACGAACACCAGTCGAGAGTATAGGGCATCTTGACCAAATCTGCTTCGCTGCTTTCTCATGTCTGACTCCTCACTATTCTTGGAAAATAACAATAAGAGTTGCCTTTTTCCACCGGTTCAAATGTTTAGTGCGCCAAACAACCCCCCAATCAGGTTTTGCAGGCTATCCCTTTTTCCTTATTAGGATGTCCAAACCATTTTGGCTCAAGCACACATGGGTGCAAAAACATACTGGACGGGAGAAGCATGCAGCAGGCGGTGACTCACAACTAGCCCTCCTCCTTTTCCCACCCCAGGTGTCTCTGGAAAACGAATAGCGTGCCGTGCCGGTGGTTTTGATCATCAGCCAAACCGTACCAGGACCCTCCCACAGGTCACCAATTGAGACCTGTTAGGGTCCAACAACCCTCAACTAACAGCCTGGCCAGGAGGGTGCTGGTATGTTCAATCGATTTTCATAGTGCAACCCCCAACCAGAGGGGGCGTTGGGTGTCTCTCTATTCCATGCAGCGCCTCGCCGAGGGACAAGCTCACGATCCGACCTCGGGCGTCGTGGAACTGGCGTCTGACGCCTGACAGAAACAGCGTCTGCATAGGCTGTTGCCCGACAAATGGTTCCTTTTGTGGTGCAAATGGTTCCATGTTTGTTTTTGGTTAAGACCTTCTTGGCGTTTATAGCAAGGATTCATCAACCCACATTCCGATGGATCCCAATAAGAACATTGACATTGTGAGTCGCGCTTGCAGGCATGATGAAGGAGCATGCACGCATGGTGTCTCTGACGTCTTCGTTCAGTGGAAAGGGACTGTCAAGTATGGGTGATCCCAGTGATCCCTGTCTTTTCACCGAAACTCTGAGTTGAAAATCGGAGCATCCAGCTGATTTAAAGATCGGTTGGACGTTGGAGTGCTCTGAGCTTATTCTGCGGCTGGGGGACCCTGGCAATCGTGGCATATCATGGGAATCACGATGAACCAAGTTTTAACAGCTGCACGTCTAACCAGTCTTCAAAGAACTGCTGCAACATCTCTTTCAAAGCGATGGCCCACATAGGATTAGAATGCCATGCCAAAAATGGTCCTAGTTCGACCATTCTCTGGTTTCGTACGTTCTCACTGAAACGTTCGACCATCCGAAAAGGAGGTACCTGGACCCTTATATGGGAATGAATCTTTGGTGTCCACTGGATGTTCCTGAGATGGTTGGAAGGAGATCTGAAACGACCCAGCCCGGAGCTGTAGATCGTTGGAAGGAGATCTGAAACGACCCAGCCCGGAGCCGTAGATCATGGGGAATGATGACTGCAGGTTGAACAACCAGAATTTGACCGCGTTTTCTTCCATGTTGGAGCTATATTCAGCGTATTCAGCATACAGGTTTGCCTTCCAATGCGACAAACAGGCAAGTGGATCACAAGTTACTCTGAACACCGTGAGATTCCGTGATCATCCCAAAGTGCTTGAGGTGCTTTTCCACTGGCTGAAGGTTCATTGATTATAGAGAGAGAGAGAGATCGAATCAAATTACTTTCCAAAACCATGTTCACGAAGGTATGCCCAAGAGGTTTTGTCCGATCACCTTTCTGCTGCGAGCAACTCGGGGTCTGGTTCTGCTTCCCAGTATGAAGAACTACGCATGTGAACCCATGATTGTGGAGGGTTAAGGTGGTGACCCGAAGCCACAGATCCCATGTGATCCATGTTGTTCGCATAAGCCAAAAGGATACCATCCTGGTGTGGCCATCACTTGGTGCGCCAAACAAATCAGTCCCAGTGTGCCAATCCCGTGCCAATCCCGTGCCCAAATCACTTGGTGCGCCCAACAATCCTCCAGCAGCCCTTGGAAAAGTGGCTCATTGTCAGCATGCCAATCCTCATCGCCGCACCGGACCGGTCCATGTTGGTCCGGTCTTGTCTAACATGGATGGTCTCTTTTTCCCGCCGGTTTTGGACACATTGTCTGTACGCTGTCCATTCTCCGGCCAACACATCGAAGTGGGTGTGATGGGACCGACCTGTAGGCCCAAACAATCAAGACCGTTCCTGAATAGAAGAAGGCCCTGAATAGGAACGATCCGAAGACCGACAGGTACCTGGACCCACAAACCAGGGAAGAACATGCAAACCCTCCACGAATCACATATATAGTGTTCGAGCAGTTGGTGAAAATCTGAATGGGCATGAAGGGCTCAAACCTTGCAGAACCACCTGTCTGAACGGTCTCTGGTGCTCCAAAACAACGCAGAGTCTGTGGCCTACCATCGACCAGGTCTATCCGGCTGTGCCCGGTTCCCGCCCCGCCCCGGAACCCGCTCGCGCGGGGTTCGACGTCGAGCTGCCACGGACTGCGAGCCGTCCGCGCAGAGGTTGGCCACGCAACTGTTGGGCCGCACGAGGCCTGAGGTCTGGACAGCCCCGGGCCCTACCTGGGACACTCAGGACATGTGGAGGGAGTGAAGAAAGCTTGAAAGCTTGGGAGGTTGTGGAGGAAAAAAAGGGTTCTGTGATGTTCTGTGGCTGTATGGCTGTATTTCAAGACAATGCAACATATCGTCAAGTGTTTCTCAGTTCATCTCCACCCCAGTGACGAGAGAGTAATCTTGAGGCGAACAACGCCGCTGTGTTTTTTCTTACAGAACGTTTATGACATGTTGATCCTCCACATGGAGCTCAAAAGGCTGCGGGAAAGAACTAGTTGACCGCCTCAACATGCAAATGGATGCGGCTCAGAAAGTCGTCAATGAACTAGACCATCCCCCTTGGAAATATGGGGGTGGCTTGGGCATATCGATGTTATAGCAACAAAATGCTGCATTTCGACCCTCATCGATTTCGAGACCATTTCAAGGAGTATACGAACGACCCTTGGAATTCGGTCACTTCGGACCTGTGAGCCAGCTCACTTCGGCGCGGTCGTCCGGGCCGTCCGGTCCGTCCGTGTGTCCAGTGCGGTGGCGCTCAGCCGGTGCAGACGGGGCCTTCATCGCTGAGGAGATGCCAAACAGCATCTTCCACCTGCGGATTCTCGTCCAAAGATGCTTTTCAGTAAGATCTTCTCGGGAACTTCGTCTAGACTCAGATCTACGGTGCCTGGCTACCCCTTTTCTTTCCACGTCAACCTATTATTAAACATGAACTCAGAACTCAGAACAGTAGAGTATTGCCTTTTACCCTTGTCTTGCTGGCATAAATATGTATGGAGGATACCTCTTCAGAATCATTGCCAGAGATTGCCATTAAGCTGCCAGCTGAGGTGTCACCAGCTGCTTTGGACTCAAGAAAAATGCAGGTCTTACTCCTTCTACTCGTTCAAACAAGCACCGCCCAGTTCCAATGGCTATTGGATGGAAAACACATGGGATGCAGGGTGTCCTACGAGCCACATGTCTCCTGGGTGCTGCTGGAGGATATCTTCGATATGTTTCAGCAGCTTCGTGCCTTTCCCCCGCACCCCCCAAGCATACCCAAGCCACTTGGAAGAACGATTTGAACAAAAAATGAACAAACCAAGCAAGAGAAATCATTCTATATATATATATATATATATATCCGGGAAGAACTTCTCAACTTCGTCCCCCAAACTCACCAGCCTCCTGAAGCCACTTGGGTACCTCCACGGCCGGCCTTGGTCGGCGCAGCACTGGGTCGGTCGGTCCAGTAAAGCGAGGCCAACTGAGCCACCCGAGGGTAACTTTGGAGGATGATGAAGGTGCCAGATTTCAATGTTTAGAGATCTACATGAAGGGTGTGTGAAGCGTGTTCATCTTAGAGGATAATGGTGATGAGGATGATGGTGATGATGATGATGATGATGATGATGAAGGCGATGATGAGGATGATGAAGGCGATGATGAGGATGATGTTGTTCAGACCTTTTGTGAGATGCCAACTCCGCACTTTGTGATTTTTTTCGGATCTCAATCGAACAATTCTCTCGTCATGGGGCACAGCCTCACGCCAAACAAGAAGCACACCAACCAACCGGTGTTTTTTCATCATTTTTCTCGTGGACATCGGATTTGGTCTCGCCCAGTCTCGCCGAGTCTCGCCCAGCCTACCGCGATTTGGTGGACCCCTAACTGCATGAAATCTGATCATGGGAGGTTACGTTGTTCCCACGTCCAAGACGGATTTTTGCGAGATGAACATCCAAATAATCAGGGCTCAATCTCTAGGGTCTCCAAGACACATGAATAAACAATATGCATTTATACAATCAATTGCTGAGTATGTTAAGCTCCAACACAATAGATCTTGCAATCCAAGTGTGTTTTTGTTTAAAATTGTATAGTATAGAGAGTCTTAGAGATTCATTAAAACACCAAAAACAAAACAACATCAACAAGTCCATCACTTGACCTCCAATGAAACTCCAGAACATCACCGCCGGTTTTGGCCAACAAGGTGCCATGCGGTTCCGTTGTACTCGTAGGAACAAGAGCATCCCGGCTGCACGAACCTGGGACCGTTGGAGCGGCGATGGCGATGGCGCGGCGGGGCGACCTAACGACCTGACGACTTCGGTGGATGGTGCCACACAGGGTTTGCAGCCCAAGTCTTCCTACTTCCAGTGTTTATTCGACCAGTCCCAACAAGTAGAGGATTGGATCTGACCTTGGCTGATCCACTCGCCTAAGGGGACTGCTGCAAGCAACTTGTTGCGTCAACGGCTCTTGGCTCTTAGTCTGGGTCTTTTGACACATATATGAACTATACAAGAATCCTTGGACCCTCCACGGCAGAGGTTGGGCCCTACACCTTCAGGGGTCCGGACCTTCAAAACCCTTCCCATTAGTTTGGGCGATGTTGTTTGGGATAGAGAAAACACTGGTAACAATTTGAACAACTCGCAAACATGAAGGTGTGGAACTGACATGGTTCCGGCCTTTCAGATCATTTCGACACTTCCACATCACCCCTTGTTCCCGATCTTGAAGACTTACCCCTCCCATCTCCCCGTTCTCCGCTCCACTGCCGGGCCCCGAAACCATGCGGCCGAACGAGGCAACAAGCGACCATTGGGAAGCCTCCACAACATGCGGATCGCGATCCCAGGGGATTCGCTGGACATCCGGGTCTAGGAGACATACGGTCTGGGTTATTGAAAATGTTTGAAGCCAAGCTCTGCAAAGCAGGAGAACGGAGAATGGCAATTGAACCTGCAAGTAGACCTGATACCTCTTTTAGACTTAAACAAACATAAACACTTTCCTCGAAGACCCAAAAGCCAAACGGACACACTTTCTTCATTGAACGTAGAAAGGAACCTCAACCACACTTTTCCTCACACACCGTAGACAAGAGCGTCAATGGTTTCTTCGTGTTACGTCGACATGGTTTCTACGTTGAGCATCGGTCTTCTAACAGCAGAAAAACAAAAAACACTTGAAGTCAAGTACGCAAGTGGGTAATCTAAAACACACATACGCACGGCCTTGCTGCTGGCCACTGGAGAGTGGCCAGCCTGGGGCCTCAAGACTGCAGGGTTGGAGGTGGAGCCCAGCAGCCCCAACCCCAAAAAAACATGGCCAGTTGATGCCAGTTGAAGGCTGCATAAACATGTCTAGCCTGGCGACCTGCGTTGCTTTCGAATGACGTTCGTTCAAGGGCCAGGGGTCTCACAAGGGGCTGTCTCAGAATTGAAAACTCCATGCCAGAATGATCTCTTTGCGCTGCCCGTGCTGTCCTGCTCGCTTGCTGGGAATGCTTAGCAAACGCCTGCCGCGGCTGAAACACTATTGCTGGCTGGCTACAACTTTGCGATCGAATCTTTTGGGAGCTTGCATGGCACCCGTGCACATATGTGGGCAACACTCCCTTGAGTTCGTTGGCTTGGCCGTCAAGCTCCAATGCAAAAATGGGGCATCTCTCCATCTCCAGCCATGGTCTGCTTGAAGCACTTCACCTCAGCCACCCCATCTGCCTCCACCAGGAGCCCTTGGCATTCCCAAGCCGGTGAAGGGTCCAGATCTCTCCAGATCTCTCGATAGTTGCCTGTGTATAGTATGGAAGAAGTGGCGCAGAGGTTGAAGTGCGTTCTCCACATACTTGATACTCTGGACTGCAGCTGTAACCTCCCACCATGTTGCCACAGTGGCAATGTCCACTGGGCCTCCAATCGGATTAGGAGCCGCCGTAAGCGACCGATACTTCCACAACCCTGTTGTTGAACGCGTCCTCGCTGTAGCCAGTCGTCATTCTGCCTGCTCAGCCATGTTTGGTGCTGTCATGTAGACGTAGGCGCAGTTTTGATAGCTGCCCCGTCTGAGTGGCATCAGGCTCGTTGTTCTTGTCGTTCAGTACAATCTCACAAGTCTGAAAACTCTTGTCAACGTAATTCGCAATTGCTGCAAAAATTGCAAGCACTTCGTTGACAGCTGTAATGAAATAAGGCACAAAGAACCCCGAACTTTGCACTTTCCTGGGACGCTGACAATATTCTGGCAAATGAGTTGGAAGGTCAGCTCCATCGTCAATAGGTTGTAGTCTACCTGAAGCGTCTTCCCCCTTTGTGAGACACCTGGCCTTTGGACGAACGTCATTGGAAAGCGACGCAGGTCGCCAGATCAGACATGTAGTATATGCAAAACTGGAATCAACTAGCCATGTTTTTTTTTGGGTTGGGGCTGCTGGGCTCCACCTCCCAACCCTGCAATCTTGAGGCCCCAGGCTAGCCACGCTCCAATGGCCACCAACAGGGTCGCGCCTACATAAAGTGGCTGTGGCGGCAGGCAGACTGAAGGATTGGGAGAGAGGAACATCAGGTGGGTGGACCTGTAGGATTGAGATCAATATTTTTGATTACTCATGCTTGTACTCTACTTCCAGTGCTTTTGGTTTCAAAGCAGGCAAAAGCAATAGCAAACGCAAAGGCAAAAACCAAAGACAAAGCAGCAAAAGCAAAGCATAAACAAAAACAAAATCAAAAGAAGGAGCACAAGCAGAAACGGAAGCAGGAGCAAAAGCAAACCACAAATGGCTGGAAAAAAGGGTCCTACATTGAAAATCCGGTTCCAGTAGCACTAAAAATGTTATTGTCTATCCAAGATTATTCAAGCCTCTTCCAATTGGCGTGTTTGAGTTTTGATGCACTCCAAATCGCACACACACAGACACACACACTCGGGATACTGCGTACGGAATTGAATGCCGCACACCCACCTAGGTAAAAACCTAAGAAGTCATGGGTGAAGTATGTAAGACCGTTCTGACCATTACCCTCGAACATCCTCAAGTTTTGAAAGGGACAAGCCCAATTGTCGACGAAAACTCGAGCGACAACCATTGAACCAAACCTCATGATCAAGACCTGGGCGGCCTGTAGCCTGGTTTGCATGTAGACGTGCACGTATACGCTAAGGGCCAGGCAGGTGCGTGGGCAAAAGAAAGGAACGAGGTGACCGGACATGAAGGCAGAAACGACATGAAGCCAAAGAGGAAAAAGGTGTATGTGACATGTGATGTGAAGAGGAAAAATGAAGGGAAAACCAGATGAGACGGCCGAAAACAAATGAAACAAACCGCATTAAAGCAAACCTAGGTAAACCATGGTAAGCCTCGCCTAGTTTGTATGTGCTGTGTCTGCACCTGAGGTTGGGGCTGGTCCCAACGGACCGAGAGAACTACGACTGCTACGGTCTGCTCTGGCCATGCCAAAATGGCGGGCTGCTCTGGTCCGCTGCGGACTACTATTGGCCTTCAGCCTGCTCAAAAATCTGTCCAAGTCTTCTGCCTTGCTCAGCAAGCCAAAGGGCCTTCGTCGGGCTCACTCCGGTCTCTCACGAGGAGAGACACACTTGGGATATTGCGCGCAGAATTGAATGCCGCACGCCCACGTGGGTAAAAACTTCAAAGGTCAACGGTGAAGTATGTAAGACGGTTTGACCATGAATCTCGAACGCCCTCAAGTTGAAAAGGCATGAGCCCAGTGAAATCGACGAAAGCTCGAGCGACGAGCACGTGTCTGCAGGCAGTGCGCATAACCGATGCAAAGGCCAGCGATTTGTTTTAGCAACAACGGGGCCCAGAAGGAAGTAGGTGGTAAGCACAGCAGGAAAGTCATCAGGCGTCCTTGATGATATCCTAGGAGCGTATGAGAAGCTTCGTTGGATGGAGCTTCATACGTCCTCTCCATCCCCCTCAAATTGAAAAAAAGAACCAAACAAGACCAAAAGGGCCTACACACAACCCACAACACAACACAACACATATATACCCGGACCATCCAATGGGTGTCAAATGGAGATTTCGAAGTAGTGGAGAGTAGTCCAGCCAGGTGACCAAATGGTCTTGGTACATATAGCTGGCCTCAATACCCTCAACTGGCTCTTCTCGGACTGTCCGGTGTTTCGGGTCTCCCGCGCATGGGCTGTCGCCAATGGGTCTCGTTCAGCGCAGCGTCCCACCACCTGCCGTGGGATGAGACAGCATTGGTGTCAAGGAGCGAACGTGAGCGAAAGGGTTTGGGGTTTTAGGGAGAGTGGATGGCACTGATGATTGGGGTGTTAGGCTGGGATCCCAATGATTGGGGTCTTAAGGGGTTAATATGATGGGTTCATGGTTTTAACATGCCGCAATGATTGGGGTCTTAGGCTGGGATGAGACACTGAAAGAAAGATGACACACTCTTTCTTGGTGGATGGACCTAAAGAAAGACCCGGGGTTCATCCTGAGGTGAACTGCTACCAGCTACCAGCACGCCAAATACAAACTGAGACTATAATATAGATGGAGCAAAACAGTGGGCCTAGCAAGATTAAAAGATCAGAAGAAAGTAGGTGTTGAAACGTGGTTTTCTGCGTGCATACATTTCAGTGTAGTAGAATAGGCAAAGCCATTGAATTCTTGCTGACATGTTCTCTTCTCAGGTTTCTTTGGTCTGGAAAAGGGCTATGATCCTCCCAAAGAACTTATACAGACTCATAGTGTCGAAGCTGGGAGGACAAGCCTGTTTTTCTTTTTTGCGGCCACACATCTTCCAAAGTCCTTTCCGAGTCTCTTTGAACAAATGCAAATATTTCTATCATCCTAGATACCCCAAGGGGTGGTTAATGGAACCGCCCTACCACCAATAGACACCCCTGAAAAAGGGGCTCCTAGTTGTTGTTCCTTCAATTTTTGTTGGGGTTTCGATTGGATCCGTGTGACAAAGTCGTGCACTTGTGACCCACCCGATGAAACACCGGAGCCCGTGTCGGCCTTTGGAGCTGCTCCTGGTGCCGGAGACTGGGGACCTTCCCTAGAGCTGGGGAGACCCGAGCGGGGGGGGGTTCGAACCACTCCGGTTTGGAGGGACCTCCTGTTGGGGCGGCGTGGGCCCCTAAAAGATCATTGATCATACCCTGTAGCAGCGGGGCTGATCTGATAAATACTGTTTGTTTTTTCTATATTATACCTATACCGTACATACCAAATTGGGACATATTGCAGCTGCGGAACCACCGAACCACCGAGGTTTTCGCAAAAGCAGGGAACATTTCTGAGCCACGTATACAAACTGTCCCTTTTTAAAAAGTATTAAGTTATTCTTATACTCTAGGACTGAACATAGGACGGAAACACAAACTATCAAATACTTCTATCTGCCTGAAATGGAACAACAAATGGCTTGTTTGTTGCCCTCAAGTGACGCTGGATTCAACGAAGGCCTCCATGGGACATGCCCAACCAATAATGCACATCATGTTGATCCAATCATCCAATCGATCCAGTATACAGTGTTTCTTTTTTCCGACCAAACTGTTGACACAAAATGAAACAAAAGGGTAACTGGTCTGATGACCTTAATTGTGCCGCTTACAAACACACACACAGAGCCAACAAACGGCCAACCCAATCTGTTTGAAAAAAAAAGAGTCTGTCTGCCAGAAATCTAACAATACATACACTTGCGTCAACACCAACTCAACAAAAAACTACAGAACTCCACCCCAATCTTGTTTTTTGGGTTGGCTTGGCCTTGTGGCTCCGAACCGAAAAAGAACACAACACATTTGTCCACCGAAGCCGAACACCCATTCAAATCTCCGGAATGACTCCAATATTTTTGTTAAACAAGCACCACCGACTCGACCTTCGGTGCGGAACTCCGGCCGCTCCACGGCGCCGACGGCAGGGCGAAGCGCTGGTGACGCGCTTCGCCGGCAGCGTCCGTGGTGAAGGCTCCACGACGCAGGTGGGCGAAGCTCCGCACCCATGCCTCAGGGCGTGTGACGTGTCGATGGGTGAAGCGTCGGGGTGTGGCTGGTTCCCAGACGCGACCTGTCTGGGACTTCTATTCATGATCATATAATCATATATATATATATGCATACATTGGGGTGGTGGTGCCAGGGGGGGTCAATGGGGCGGCATATATACCAGTTCCATGGAGTGTATGGGATTGGTCTCCTGAGATATGGACATTGAGATGTGGTGAACTTCCGCTATACGTACCCTGAGCGACTTCTTGGGGCGATTCCTGATGCGTCTAGTCACGGACACCTACCAGCATAACCCAGACACTCCATGTATGCCATGTATGTCTACATTGACCCCCCCAAACCACCTGTAGGCATATATGGCATGCACGGAGTGTCTGGGTAATATATACGTGCCATGCTCCCAAAAAATCAACTTTCCCACAAATTGCTTTCCGGCTCCCCGCATTGTACGCTCCAAGGATTTAGTTGTTATATATATATAGTGATCCGTGTTATTTTTTGTCCATGCCCTGCCTCCAGCAGATCTCACGATATCTCACCATGCCACGGATTTAATTTGGGGTGTGTAGATCAAATAGGAAGACAAACCCCCTTTCAACCCCCTGGGTTCGCTTCGGGAAATCGACCGGTGTACCCAGCCAGGGCGATTGGTGGCTCCGCTCCTGAACCCGACAACAAGAACCGAACGAAAGTGGGACGTGAATGTGACCCACTGAAAAAACCAACAGGTACTTGTCACCAGAAACATCAATTTTCCGAGGTACGTACAAGTCAAGTATGAGACTCCAGGTAGATGAGAATCCAATACCAGGACCCGACTCTACAGGTCACCTGTCTGGTTCGACCGCTTCGACAGGGTCCTTCCCAACCCTCATATCCCACAGCCTGGCCTTGTTGGACGGTGCTGGCAGCTTGAGTTTCTCCATTTCTGGGTCCAAAGCACCACGCCTAATCAAACCACTGAACCGACCCACCGCGACACGAACTCTTCGCCCGACCTTCGGTCCCCCCACATCGTCGACGCAGCGAGACCACGCGGTGGATCCTCTCGGGTCCAGGCCACCCAGGCCCCCAACTTGAGAGGATTCAGATCTAGGGTTGTTTACATGCAGAATTTGGGGGTGTTTTTGAACGCGGATTGTGATCCTCCAACAGCAATGGTTTGACCCTGCTAAGTCCCAACCACCCTCTAGAATCCAGAAGTCGAAGTCCTGTTGGAGGATGGTCGGGGAACATCAGCTTTTTACAAGGACTGAAGCTGAAGACATTCCAAGGTCCAAGACGTGGTGCATTTCAAGATCTTCCCTCAACTCGTTGAGACGGTCAGCGGCGTCTTTCCACCAAAACGTCTGCAAAACGTACCAAACATCTCGTGACACCCGCAACAAAAAATGGTTGGAGTGGCTTGCTGGATGTCCAACGCGAAGAAAGGTTCAAGCAGGTTCAAGCAGGTTATGAACTGAAGGTAGCATCCATCTTTCACTCGAGTCTCCGGACTCCAAGTGGCTTGAAGACTCAGATATCTGCCAGAATTTCAACCCGTGAACCAGCGAGGTCATCGATGGTCTACAGAAAACGCCTCTTCAAATGATGCGGGTGTAGCGCTGGAACACCAGCACCACCCAAAGGGTGATTCGACATATACATCCCCCTGACTATGTATGTTCCATCCAATAACCGCTCAAACTGTAAGTGGTGCTGACTGTCAACAACAATTTGAGGATGACAAGCAGGGTTTGTATATCTACAACCCTCATGGCTATTATTTTGTTGTTGGTAGCTTAATGGCTTTATAATATGCTTCTATTATCATCTATTTATTTAGGTCTGTGAACCACACACACATCCGCAACCGAACCAATTAAACATCAGCTGTTTGAAAACGTACATTCGGGTAAAGACGCCCGTGGCTCACCAATAAACGCCCGTAAATGGTGTATCAACACCCGTGGCAGGCAAAAAAGACAACTCAAAAAAGTAGGGGACACATCCGCAAACTCACATATTAACTTGAGGCTGTGACTCCAAAGATGATGCAGCGTGATGCGGACTAGCAAAAGAAATGCACTGAGGAACGCTGAGGAAACTCCAGGTATTTAAACCCAAACAAGGCGCATGCAGGACTGGAACATATTGAACCCGCTTCAACCAGCCCAAATGTATACTGGAGTATAAGTAAATCATGGTAAATCTGCCAGTCGCATGAAGTAGGTGAATGACATCGGAAACTAGAGCATGCTAGGGTCCTAGAGCACATGATGAGCACATGGCGTGTGAGAACGCCACAAAGACCAAAACCCACACCCTCATCTATGACATACTTTGGGGAGCTTTCAGGGGTCCAAACATGGAGTGTGTCTGGGATCAGCAAACCCAAATTGCTCAACAGTCCAAGCCTCCGACCCTGACCGTAGATGATGATAGATCCATCAAATGGTTATCAAACGGTTTTCGTCCAATGAAAAACATGATTGACAAGAACTCCCAAGGTTTCAGGTCCGGCACCATATCCCAAGGATTCGGGTCCAGACTTCGCGTCTGGGTGGCCAGGATGGGGCTTCAAACCCATGCCGCAAGGTGGGATCGATTGTTGCAAAGCCAATTGGGGCTTTCGGTTTCGGAAGTCCCGGCTCGGTCGCTCCGAGTTCCACCACCACACCCGTCAAGAACTGCAGATACCCCTCGCTCCATGCCCGGCAGACCAGATGCTCCGTGCACAGGCCGACCCTCACCTCCCCCCTTCCAAAACCATAGGGATCGGGTCCAAAGACCACCGTATAACACCCCGAGGATTCGGTGTGCCCCCCAACGGAGGGTGAATGAACGGTCCGACTCCGTGGGAGCGACTCCGCGGGTCCTTCTCCCACCAAGCGCAGCGCTTTGGTCTCCAAGGAGGGCCTCCGGTCGCGATGACCGTACCGAAAGGGTGGGTCCGAGTCGTCCAAAAGGATGAGACGAACGGTCGCCAACACGAACGGTCGCCAATGGCAGGGAACGGAGGCGAACCAGAATCAAGGGGAAGAAGGTGGATGATTTGGGCACCCTGATGTTAGACCTCCTTGTTCTTTCCAAGCCCCAAATCAAGGGGGCTTCCAAGTCCACATTCTTTTGACAAACGTGCTTTTTGATCATCTTGAATTCTTGAATCTCACATGGAGGACCTCGTCTTTGGCAGCTGTTCATGTTTCAAAGTCGTTCATGTATTCTACATGAAAACTCACAAGAAAGAAGGCATTACCTAGCACTTCCATAAGTGGTGTAATGTTGTCCAGCCAGTTGACCCGTGTTCCAGCATCCTCAGGTTCCCGGGCTCTCGGCCGAGACCCAGCCCTTGGAGATGCGAGGATCCGAAGACTATAAAACGAATGGTCTGAATAGGACCTGGAAGGGAATGTCCTTTGCTTCACTGAGGCAACATATGGTCGAACTGGACCTTTAGGGTTTTCAAGTCGTCTCATATTCTTGGAAGCAACAAGATCTAGAAGTTTAAGTGACCCCTGTGTCAAGTACCTTCTGAGAAGGTACTTGGATCCCTAGGGAGTAAGACAAATTACCCTGTTTCATTGGTGTAAAATCCAAATTTATTAAGGCAAAGGGAGCAATAGGGGTGGACATCGGAGGGAATACAAATAAATTTACTGCATGTATTCATGTTTGATGCAGGGTCGTTGATGTTGTTGATGGTTGGTCCTCCCTGTCTTGGCGTTGAATGAGACTCAGTTAATACATTATGCTACATTAACCCCACCACCACCACCACCACCACCACCACCACCACCACCACCACCACATCCCTCTTCTGAGAATGCGCTTTAACCTTGGAACTCTGACCTGCAAAGATCTTTTAGGTCGAACTGTCTCTATTCACTCTCTCTCTCTCTCTGTCACTTGTTGCTAGATGGGTAGTTGATTATCAAAAACCCAACATTATTAGACAATTTGTAGGCTTATGGCTTATGTGAGGCTATCACCTATTTCTTCCAGCTCCAGTCCCCCATCGGTTCCCCAAAAACAAACACACAAAAAACATGGCCATCCATCTGTTCATATAGTATAAGCACACTTGCAAACACTATTAAAAGGATACACTAAGATCTAAGATGGCATACCGATAGAATGACATTCCGGTCAATGGTTCTATAACAGGATACACTGGATAAACATCCCCCGCAAGCATCGACGTCGACCGCGTGTGCGCACGACACACACGACGCGTGTGCGTGAAAGGAGATGCATATGATTGCATATGATTGCATGCCATATGTGATCTGATTCCAGTGTGCCATCCAAACATGATCAAACACAAAAGCGCATCAACTCGGCCTAGCAATGAATGAGAAGGTGCCAATGAATGGGCTGCACCATGGTATCATGGTGAAATGGATTATGCCTGGAAACATGTCAACCAGGGACTTTAGAGACAGCTGAATCTTGTTTCATTCGGTCAGTATATAGGCTCCCGAGTGCTGAACAATGTCGGAATGCTTGAGACTGGAGCCAAGATTTGTTCATTGGGTCTCTGATCTCATCGCATGTTCTGCAGGTGCATTTTCTTTGTCCCTGAAAGTCGCGCAAACACCAACACCTACCTCTAGATTCTCTAGATGGCCTGGTTAGCATGATTTTGATACCTTACCGAAAGAAAAGCACGGCTGATCTTGGTCAAAACGAGTATATCCCTGAGGATCCAGTCTTGGGCTCTGGCATCCAAAAAGCCAGCTCTTCAGGCAAAACGCCTGGCGAGGCCCACAGTTTGGATTTAGGTTGATGCAGCTTGTGGTGCAAGGACACGATGATGTGTATCCTCTACGAACCAGCCGTATCACAAGTCCTTTGATAAAGGATCTGCCCTCTTGGAACATATCGATGCCGGATATGGCGTCCAGTTAGTTGATTGGGCCAAATATAGAACACTTTGTTCCAAACAAACCACCCAATACCTGGACCCTCCTACCCTGGAACATGGAAGATGAACCTAGAAGAAAGCATCCGACTGAATCCATGGTCCAACCCGAACCCCTGGACCATCCTACCTGTGACCATCCAGTGGGTCCGCGGAGATCCATTATCCCATTGTAAGTAGTGCAGGCTTGTCCATTAGGTGACCCGTTGGAAGCAGCTGTCCGGACCCATGACCTTCCCTGACCTGAGGTTTTTTGGGTCCATTGGTTCGCGTCTGGGCAGGTAGGTCAAGACCCAGAAGAACAGCTGAAAAAACATAGAAAACAACACGGTGGTTGGCCAACCGAACACGGCGGTTTGCCTTTTTGCAAGGCACGAAACGCACCAAAGGCCAGTCCTGTGTTGAGTTGGGATGTGTTCTCTTTGTTCTTTCGACCCCCCCAAAAAACAGCCAAAACCATGTGTGGGTGTGTCAATCTAACTCAATCTATTTTAAGCAAGGTGCATGAGACAACTCTCTCAGCTCTCTTTTCTCAAAGGGAGACCATTCTCCCAAAAAAAAAACGGCTCCGTCGGGGGGGGAAGGGACCCCCTCCCCCCGTTCTGCAAAAAACACAGGTCGGGACAGCCGCCAACATCGACCTCCGTCTGGGATCGAATGATGTGGGCGATTCCAAACGGCGATCCCAGACGGATCGTTTTTGTTTGGACTCGAAAAAGGCATCGACATGGCACATTCGGTGATTTCTGGGCACCGAACTGGCCACGTTGGAAGTTGGAAGGTCGATTACAGCATGAGTGTTCATGACATATAAGAGATTGTGCTATATATTACTATATACAGTAGTATTCTATAACACCATAGACATCCATAGACTATATAGACATATATAGACTGTATAGCTGGTCATCGAAAGGACCTGGAATAACACCCAAATACATGCTGTAGATCGAAAAAATCGCCAGAACAGGACCTGGAACCTCCTGGAACCCTTCGCCCACACGATCCTGGTGCTGGACTAACCCCTGGTGGGATGGAACACCGGGTGATCCAGCGACGTTTGCGTACCGACCTTCGCACCGGTCGGTGTTCCGCCGCGGTCGTTGTCCCTGATTCAGAAGTAGGTCATTTCCGGAGGCCGACCCGAGCCTATCTGAGCCTTGCAATGAAGAAACTTCCTTTCAGTGATCAAAGGCCCGTCCGGCCAAAACAAGTCGGAACCCGTCCGTCCGTCCACCTTCACCCCTTCACCTGGGTCTTGTCAAGCAACATTGAGGTACTTGTTCCAAGAAACTTGAATACCATCTTGACTAGACATAAATGCAGTTAAGCCCTTTCCTTTTCCTCAAACCCACTGAGCACTATGCCCAATTGCCAAAGACAATGGCATGGAAGGTCCTGGGAATGGAAGGTCCAAACGACCCATGAAGTCCGGAGGCGACTCGGTGCGGGTTAAAATACATTGACCCCTGAAACCACCCTAATGTAGGTATATATACATGGAGTGTGTGGGTATATATACCTTTGTGGTCTGGGCATCTCTCGGCTATGTGCTTGACCCCCTACCATCTAATTTATTCAGTCAAGACCGGTGATCGCGATCATCAGTGATTCAACTCAAACCCGAACAAACTTGGCTTCTTGGGCTCACACGCAAATAGACGCTCACCAATGAGCCGCCCACAAGCGTGCAAATGGCGGGCCTAGGCGGGGGATGTGCTGGTAGCTGAGGGCTATGTAAAACACACAAATAGAGAGCGAAATCAACTCAGGATCACATGCATCTATAGCAAACTGCTTGTACCTGGACCTGACTTCAAGTACCCTATCATGAAACTTCTGTAAATACGGTTCCGGCTTGAACCCATTCTCTTCCTGTACCAAGCAGGAACCGGTCCATCGTTTTCAATGGACATCGGGTTTCATCTCGCCGCTTAAAGTCAACACCGAACATCCCAAAGAGGGAAGCCGGACATGTGATGGACCCAATGAATCACACCTACCGACTACTGAGGTTCACCATCTAAAATGACAGACTTAAAGACCTGTACATCTGACTTAAAGACCTGTACATCTCATGTTATGTAAAAAAAGTGCAAACAAACAGCCACTTTCTGTCGTGACTGGCTAATTTGACTGTGCAAAGAGTTCATCCGTGTCGTCCATTTTATAAGACCAAATTTAGATTTCCCCTTAAACTACATGAGTATGGGTTTCCGTGTCGACCACACTCATTTTAGATAGCCGGTAGCAACGGGTATTAGCTAGGTACTTAAGCCCAGTGCCGACAGCTAGGGTAACTAGGTAAGTCGGCCCAAAAGGCTCAGAAAGGTTTTGACCCTCCAGGTCTTTGTTTGAGGCCGGCTTGAGGCCAAACTGACCTTCTAGAGCCCCCCAAAAAATGTGTACCATATGTGTACCCTCAAACCAGGGGATCAAGTTCCGTCATGAACGGAAGAACCAGGTGAGTGTCTCTGGGATGAATCATCCCATGAAAAACACACACATATCTTCTCATGTTGCAAACTCAGCTTCTCAACTTGTGGCAGGACAGCTGAGTCTGCTCGTGTTCTCATGTCTGTCTGAGACGTCCAAGACCCCAAACTCAAGACATGGCCGCAATATGTCCAACAGATTCACTATCTCCAAGATTTCGACTCAGACGAATCCCAGACTATCCAGTCATCCAAAACATACAGTATATTGGTCTTGTAGCGTAAAGTCCTTAGTGAAACAATGCTTGTTTGGCGATGTTTCGTAAGAACCATCCTGGGGCAGCAAGAGAATTCGGTCGAGCCAAATTCAGCTCCTGACAGCCACGAGCTTCCAAGAGAATCGAGGCCAAAAGCTCCTTGTCTCCTCCAAGGCTTGTGACTCTGAACTGTGTGGCTTTATCGTACAATGGGTCGTTCTCCACCCTAGAAGTTGAACCAGCATTTATTTAAATAGCCTGAATCCCGAACAACCATTGCTTCACTATAAGTAGGTTTTTTACACAAGAACGGGTCAACCATTCTTTTGATGGTCTTCAAAGGTCAGGGCATATATAACGAACCACTGCCAGTCACCAAGTCTCGCAGGATACGTGTGCTACCTCTCCTTGATGCACCGGAGTCATGGCAACAAGGGACGAGCAACATCCAAGAGACGCCCTGCCATCTGTTCCGCCCTCTCCTCGCTTCTTTGTTGCACGCCTGTCAACTCTTGAGCAAATCCTCGTGGAAATCCCACATGGCATGCAAGTAGAGGTAGTACCCAAGTAGAGGTATCCTTTTTGGGTCCCTCCCTCTGTCGTTAAGTGCTTGTATATGTGCATATCAATGTGCTAATTGTGTCTTCCTGGGCACACCAATTGCGCCAACATCATGAAGGGCAGATTTCAACGAGCCAAATGAAGGTGTAGGGTCAACCAAAATGTACCTCGTTCGACTATGTTCATCTTTGCCGCTTACCATCCTCTTGTCCACAGTGTAAGAGGGGCTGTAAAGAATGACAGCACGACATTATGGTTCCCCAAACTAGTTATATATATAGTATTTAGAAAAACAATGCTCATTACAGTCACGAGACTGAGACTCTAGGCTACTCTGGGCTAAGAGGTACGCAATTTGGCTGAATGTGTGATGCCTTGATGAAAGCCTGCCATGAGATCCTGAGGCGCATCAGAGATGAATGGTTAACGCAAATCAATAGGAAAAAACACATGTTGCACGAACTGTTTCTTCTGGAGTGTCTCTGTCGAGTTGGGGACCACGATTGAGGACCTGGCACCAAAAGAAGAACCTCATCCAACAGGGCCTCGCAGGCGGCAGCTGCTCCAGACCTGGCTCGATGGTTTTGACAAACATAGAACCCCCAGCACTGCAGGGTCAATTGCTTGGGTTCTCCAAGTTTCAGCACTCCAATGTAGTTACTAGCTTCTTGTTACTAGTAGCGATGGCCTCCAGCTAACAGCGTCCTTGCTACTCGTAGCTTCTTGTTACTAGTAGTAAGGCCAGGAGTTACTAGTGTAAATATTCCAGTCCCAGTCCCATGAAGTTTTTGGGATTGGGGGGGTTCGGATTCATTGCAACCTACCCATACGTCCAAAGCTTAGAGCTGAGGATGATGTGAGGCAGAACATGTCACCGTGACTGCGACTCAGTACCTCTTGGCAACTGACAAATTTGAAAACACATGAAGAAACATCGTCCTCTCCATGCTGGATCCATGCTGCCATGCTGGATCCATTCTCCATCTGTGCAGTTCTGCGGTGAATCGGTTCCTTTCTCGCCTGGCCTCAATCTCCTTCGCGCACCGCGGGTGAAGGCCTCCTTGCAAGGTGCTCCCCGTGTGAATTAGAACAACACATATATAACCCAAACACTCCATGGGACTGCCGTATATGCCGCCCCATTGACCCCCCAAACCACCCTAATGTAGGCATATATGGCAGTCCCAGACAGGCCGTGTCTGGGTAACAAAACACCTGTCACATGGGACGTGGACCCTCCATCACTGCGGAAGTCGCCTGGTGGAGGTGGGGAGTTCCGTGTCCCAGTTCGCTGCTCACTGGATGGGAGTTCCTCCGGCATGGCACTGGTGATTCTAAGATCCTCTAACTATCCATCCAGGAAGTAGTCTGGCAGACTGGAAGGCCATCCTAACTGGGAGTGTGGAACGTGTTCAGTCTTTAGCACCTCATCGAACGAATTGAACGCCAAGGCCCTGAATTCCCACCTGCGGCAAAGGCTTCCGGCAAGACGAACAGAGTCCTCAGAGACACAGTGTGACAGGTGCGCAACCATTTATGAGACTGGAACATTGACCTATATTGACCCATCTTGACATTGAACATCTCACAATCAATTTGATCGGCAAATATCCCAGTCCTATGGACTACAAGTGTTTAGGAGGATTGAAGCGCTTGAAATTGAAGGCATGACTCAAAGCACCTGCTTGCACCATCCCCAAGCAATGGTGTGTCATCTTCAAAAGATATATGTTTTATACCACGTTTTACGGATAGTGGGAGAGAGATACATTTGCTATCACCCAAACGCTCCATGTATGCCATATATGCCTACATTGACCCCGAAAACCACCCCAATGTAGGCATATATGGCATACATGGAGTGTATGGGTCATGTTTTTCCTCAAAGACGCAGAAAGTACTATCACCAGAGGTGGGAAACTCAACTCCAGAGTTTCACGTGAAGCTGCCTTCGCTTGCCATTCCAAACGTCTACCTCCCAAAGGCTCCCAAAGGTTCCCAGGACTCCAGGATTCAACTTCAAGTACCTTAGAGAATGGGACATGACCCAAACAAGAAACGGGTATAGTCGGTATAGTGCTTCTACCCATTTTCCGTGGTACGTTCACCTGTCGACTCCAGGTAGGTACGAATGATATCAAAACCTACATGACTCCAGCTGCATGAAGCCAGAATTTGCCAAAGAGGGAATCTCAGGGGCGTTTGGGAAGTCGTTCGAGGCCAGCTTGCGGATGTGTAGCGGGCAACGACCCCCTTTGAAGAAGGAAAGGGGATCAGTCTACCCCCTTGGGACAGGGGGTTGTCAAAAAAAAAACTGGCAATCCGTAGAAACCGCAATCCTTCCAAGGATTCTGGATTGATTTAGAACCGCTCACCCGCTTGGGAGGCCAGCTGGGCCTGCGATGCTTCGCTTTGGAAGTGCTCGTAGGCGGCTCTCGGCCAGCCAGCCATGCAGGGCATCTGGAAGCGGAACGGGTTTGGAGCAGTTCAAGAAGAAAAAGGGGAGACGTTCTTCTACTCTTTGATATTCCTTGGACAATAATAATTACAGTAACCACCTGTTCAAGTGAAGTGGGGAAAACCAATTCCCCGCAAAACGGTTAAAGGTTTATGCACTTTTCCTTGGTAGGTCTTGCTCCTTATGGATCCACTAGCCACTCGCATTTGGATCCTTTTCGAAGGGAGATACCTGCAGGGTCCAGTCATACCTTCATTGCGAAGGTAACGTACGTGGCTCCTGTAAGGGGGTCCGGGCTGAGCCCGAGGGTTTCTGCACGCGTGGCCTGGGTGTCTCTCACAGGAGTTTGGATGGGATGACTTTGATCTAGCGGATGGCAAGGAGAAAAACAACCATCGCCAAAAGGTTGTTTATATGGAGCCCCATCTAAAATACTTGTAGGCCCTGGAAGTCCAAAGACTATAAATTTGTTTGCAACGTTGGAGTAAAGGAAGTTCTTTAAGGGGGTCACCCAAAAAGCCTTTTAAAGACCCTTTAAAAAGGGGTCGACTGGACGACAGTGCCATCTACTCTGAAACCGCTGGACGACCAGCACAAACATCAGCACGACAGTCGATCCGACCCTGGATCTAAGTCAATTCTTGATGCTTCATACCTAATCCTTCCCGAACTGGGCTCATCTTATAGACGATGCACAGCTGAAATTGGGCACAGTTGGAAGATCCAGTCTTCTTGCATGTCAGCCACACCTGCCAACATATACCCAATGAATCTATGCGATGGTCAGTATGGCTGGTTTCTTGTGCAACATGGAGTCCGTGCCATTCCGGATACAACATGTTTCTTCGTGCACAGTGGGTGGTTAGTGGTTAGACCCTCAGCTCAACTGGTGCATTGCTCTCCCTCACCTGACCGCTGCGACTCGTAGGGAACCAAAAGGGACGTGAAAGGCACCCCAATCGAGAAATCCATTGGATCCTACGCCACCCTCAGCTACCCCAAACGCGTCACTACGCACGGAACTCGCACCGGTCCCTGCAGATCTCCCGCCCCATCCTGACACCACGAACGCTGCGCTGCTGCTGATCTCGGTGACCAGGACCTCTCGACGCCAACGAGAGTCTCAGCATGTCTCAGCCAAACAACTGACGGTCCATCGATCGCGGCGTTTGGTTCAATAAGCGCTCTGGTTGCACATCCATCATCAGGAGGCGGTTGTGGTTGCAGGGGGTCAGGGAATATAGAGGGACTCATTGTTTGGGGGGACTCACTATTACAACTATGACTATTACTGTACAACATACTACAAACCCATCTTGAGTTAGAAGCCAACTCTCAGTTCGCCGGTGAAGTCTCTTCTGTCGGGCCCAGGGTGGCTTGCTTGGAATATATATATATATACTAGGACTAGGACCTTCAAAGTGACCTCTTTGGAGTCTGTAAGTGACCTCTTTAGGGACTAAGTGACCTCATCCTGGGATATCAAAGGGTCACTTTGAAGGTCCTGGTAATATGTGAAATTGTGTGAATGTATACTTTCCAAACCGCCTTAAGACATTTCACGCACGCACGTCCAACCTCTCAGCATTTACAGCATCTGCCTGTGCACTTTCTCATACACAGAACATCCATGTATAAAATCGTCACATACATTTACCCATTTATGTACCAAATGAACCAAATGTATAATATTATGACTATACGACGACATTAAGACTATTCCAGTCCCATGGATGGTCTTGGATGGATCGCATTTCACATGACAAATCCACCGGACCTTGACTGCCAAAGCGGCCCACAAACGAGCGGCGTCGATCGCACTTGCGCTGGCTTGGCCAAAGGCAAAGCGACGACTCAACAGTGTGTTGCTCTAAGAAGCATCGCTAGTCGCCTGTCTGTCAATCTGAACCATAACGAAAACCACCTGTTTACCATAATCTACTGGGTGTTATGCAAGCCTTCCACAAATGCACTCAGAAGTCCTCGATTGAAAGTGAAAGGTCTATTTATATAATATAAAACTAAAACATATGAGATTTGGGATGACCATCCCTTGGTGGTTTGAGGTACCCATTCAATCCATTCTCCACACACTGTGGGTCCTGGTGCATCTTCAGCAAGAAGATCATCCTTTGCTCCGATCCATCACCAACTTATGGAGCACCAAATCTTCATGGGTCCTACTTCCAGACTCCAGATGTGTGTTTGGAGGGTCATTCGGTACCTTCTGAGGATCTTCTGAGTAAAGAACTGGCCAATCACCTTCTTCCTCTGGGGGTGTCTTGGCTCGCGAACGCGACTTCGGCATGGAACCTCCGATTCGCAGTAGATGGAACCGGGTCGCAGTAAGAGGCTGCCCGCAGTAAGCAGGTTACCGTGGTTCAGCTGTACAGCATGCGTGAGGAGTTGCTACAGCGGTCATTGTTCAGCCGCCTAAGCAGGTACTTGCTCCTCTGTGCCTGCTCCTTTTGAAATCTTGGTGGGCATGTCTCAAAGAGAAGGAACAAGCCAACCAATGGATACTATTCTATGGATACTTTTCCAGTCTTGTAAGAAAAACACTTGGTTTTCTAGGGCGATCTGGGGCACCTTCCGGAAAGCTCTGCAACATCCTTTATGACGTAACGGCCTTTAAGGCCGATGTTGGAAGCTGGACAATGCCGGACGGACCGCAGCATCCGCTCTCCCGGGACTGGCTTTGAGTCCCTCACTCGGTTTTGGTGTTGCTACGTGATGTGACCTGCACCAAGACGACGCGCAAATGTGCGTCATTGGGGCGTTTCATAGATGGAAATGAGGAGAATCTCTGAGAACTGAGTACATGAACAGCTGACGCCAGTCAATTTTTTTAAATATTCAAAACAATCTTGCAGTAGCTTGCCTGACTTCAACTTAGAAGGCACTGCCACTCCATGCATGCATATCTTGCAAATTTAAACCCAAAGGAATGCCTGGCACCCACATGGCTTGCGTGGATACCCCACCCGGCCCCACCCGACGCGGATAGGCGGTCGTGAGATACAATTTGCTACTAGTGGCCTCCAACCTACTAGCGATAGCCTCCAACCTACTATGATGTTTGAAGCAAGCTGCAAGGCAATCCAATCCAACCACTGGAGACCAGGACGACACGCACACCAAAGACACGCTGCGTCTTTGTCTCCAAACCCGTAGAAGGGCCGATGCACATTCTAGATCCAATTTGGGGTTGCTATCATGGTATCATCTGCGGGTACATGTACCAACCTTTCATTTGGGGTTGCTCTAGATCCTATCTGCGGGTTGACATCCTCAAGTTTTCCTGGAAAAGAACAACATCAACCAACCTTTCCACCTGTTCCATCTGTCCCAGCTACGTGTTGTAGCCCTACCGCTGACACACTGGTCGGTTCGGTAGAAAAAGTAAAGAGGCTGGCATGTCGACTTGCACGACCTTCACCGACCAACTCCCCAAATTCAACTCACACGGTCCCGACTCTGGGGCCCCTCACTGCGCAGTTGATGCAAGTGACCTCTTCCCCATCCTGGCCATTCCCAGACCATCCATCTATGGAATTGTTATATCAAGTGATCAATGTTATATCATATCCATTTACCTCCTGAAATCTCCTGAATAATTCATGGCCATTTTGGTAACTATTCTGTCGTCCCATTTCATGGCGGGGGTCCCATTGAATCATTTATCCGATGGGCCGAACGAACGAAGCATGCGATCGACGTCGACGTCATGACGTTCAGGTCAGGACGCTCCACCCGTTTGGCGGTCCAGTGCAACTGCAGGGTGTGACTCAGAATTCTCCGAGAAAAGCAACCCACATGACCCAGCGTCAGATGTTTTGGAAAGAGAAACAAACAACTCAAATCCAATCGGTTTAAACTGGTTGAGGTGGTGTAGAACTAAACTCTTTAGTAAAACCAGTGGTTGTTCAGTTAAAAGCCACTGGTGGGCTACCCGAAGCCTGGGCAGTGCGACCGGAGGGTCGACCAATCCGCCCACCGCCACGCCTCGAACTGGACGGCGGTCACGGCCAGGTCGTCGGCCGGCAAAGCCTCCCGTCCACGCGAAGCAAGAGGTCGACCCTCGGGCGTCGGGAGCTGGTTCCGAGCGGAGTCACCAACGTCGACCACTCTCCGAAGCGATGAACGTTAGATGTGATCAATATAATATTTCATATACCTGCAACACTATAAGCCCCGAAAAGTGTCTGCGGTCCAACCATCCAACTTGGGGGCCCAGACGTGCCATCAAACCTCTGAAACCAGTGTAATACCTGCTGGTCTGCACCTAACCTGTGCGGTGAGCCTCATGGTTCGCCTCACCTCGGAGGTCGTTGACGCCCGAAACTCGGCCGATGGCTGGGAATGCCATGTCTGACGGAGCGAACCGACCCGTCGAGTTGGTGGTCTAGCCAGTCTAGTGCTTAGTGTTCTTCATTCAACCAGTGAAGTCTGGGCTTCCAGTACCGACCTGATCCAACTTGGAACTTCCTGCACTTTCTAGCCCCCGGTCCACCGGTGGCGATCGCAACATCTCGATTGCTACGGCGGTTTCGCGTCGTGAAAAAAGGCCAATGGTCCTTTTAATGGGAGTTTGACAAACACACCAATCGGTGCTGTTGTGGTTTGCACCTATTCTTTAAACAGGAAAGCAAACCACAACAGCACCGATTGGTTGTGGTTCTTTCGGCCGCGAAGGGGGACGCCCGTGCCTGGATGACATCTGCCTCCGCAGGTCTGGACGGAGGAATTCTGTGACGTCTGTGACGTTCTTCCGTAAGAACCAGCCAAACCCTTCAGCACTTCCAGTCGAAACTTGCACCCTGGGATTCCTGGCCAACCATTCTTTCAATGGTTCTGAATACCAAACAATCATTGTTTTAATACTACAAGTATATGGATTTTAGACTACAAAAGCCGGTTAACCATTCTACACATAGTCTTGGAATGCTAGGCTTCAAAGACTTTTCGGGTGCTTTTGCAAGCGTGACTTGACTCAGCGGATATAGCTGGCTTTGTAGCTGGAGCTGTTTTGGTGGTAGGGTGTAGCATCTCCCAAATCAGAAAGCTAGTGCATCAAGCGGCCACTTTAGCTGGTAACCACTAGATCCAAAGACTAAAACCTCAATATGTGCCTAGAAACCCTGGTTCCTTATCTAGTGGCTCCCTCGACCGAAGAACTTTATCATGGGTGTGTATTTTAAGAGGGAGACCGCCAACCAATTGTTAGACTGGGTCTTTTCTGATTCTAGCGGGTCGGTCTAGCTAGGGGGGTCTAGGGGGAAACCGATTCCCATGTCTTGAGCTACATATGCCCACTTGCTCGTCTCCAGGATCATGGTCCTTCAATGCCCTTTCCGTCTCGGGTTCCGGCCCAGTCGGTCTCCAGTGTCGCGTCACCGCGGAACCGCGTCGCGTCACCGCGGAACCGCGTCACTGGGTGACCGGTTCGAACGCGTAACCGAAACGAGTCCAACGCGTTCTTCCGTGGGGGCGGAGGTGAAGTGGAAGTTCTGAGTTGGATGAAACGATCCACGAGATCGTTGACAGTATTCATCAGTATATTTCGTATCATTGCTCAAAGAAGACCCGCAAAGGGAAAAAACACGCTTGTGAAGGTCTACATTCCACCTCGCGTTCATGTGGAAGTGGATAGCATGGCCTCTGGGGATAATGGCGCACAGAATACCAAACGAGGGGTTCACTCCATGCAGATCGCATATGTCTTCATATGTCAACGTCATTGGGGAGTGCATTTGGATCTTTTTCGTTCGATGACATTTGCTGAACCAATCGCTTGCCCGTGCCACCTGAGCATGTTTTCCACAGAGCTGCCAGTGAGACCTTGAACTAGGATGACACATTCTTCAGGAACATGCCGCCTACAAGGCAGCAGTGTCATCATGCATGGTTTTGTTCAAATATGTCAGTGCTTTGATGGCTGCATCGGTATGTGGAAATTCCACTTCAGGAATTGGCACACCCAAGAAGTGCGCTAGAGGAGCCCATCCATCTGACCAATTGTAGACCAGCAATTGCTCTGCGGGAATAACTTGCTGGACTCTGTCAATGTGGCGCTGATAGTTGTCCAAGCATGTCTTCTTGTCTGATTCGAAGGGAGAACTGAAGAACTTGCACCCCCAGGAAGACATGGCCAGGCATGTCGCATAGTATGAAGGCTCTCCCTCTGCAAGATCAGTCTCGGTGTCCCAATACAGTCTAACCTTTCGTTCAGCAAGATGGAAAACATGCGGAAATTATAGCAAGAACATATACAAACTTACCATAATGTAGACTGTTGATTGATAACCCCCACAATTGGGTGTTAAAAGGGTTCTGTTCATCAACAGTCTACATTCCCTACGGATCCGCATACCTTCTGAGAAGGCGATCTGTTCGACACTTTGATGCAAGGTCCAGGAGGGTCCAGTCGTACCCAGTCCTTCTCATGTGGCAATGGATCCCTCCAAATTGAGCGATGATTAAGCCAAGCCCCCCGCGTATATTTTGGGTGTTCAATGGTTTTAAAGAAGGGGTTCTGTTCATCCACAGTCTGCATCAAGCCAAGCAACCAATTCATTATAGTTCTCATACCAGCTTTCTGGATCTGAGATGGTCAACAAGAACTTCGCGTCCGGGATGGCGGCCAAGACCTCCACTTTCTGTGTATCTGTGTATCGTAATAGGGAGACACCGAACCTATGGATGTTGGATGATTTTGGCATATTAATACATGCGTATATTTCCGAATGATGTTCATCTTTCCTATTCCAACCTGAGGTCTCCCTTTCCCAACACACACCATGTGGAGGTCGCCCACGGGTATGCACGGTGACACATGAAAGTGAATTGGGTTTTATCGTCGTCCTTTGGGGAGCCCAACCTCTTCCAAAGAGTTGGGCATCTCCCACTACCTAGTGGGAGATGTGATAAGGTGACTACCACTGTGGGGCATATCCCACTTAAAAACCATAGTGGATATACTGATATACACCACTACCTATTGATATTGTCATAGATGATGGTTAACTTGCCCATCACACACCGACGGCTGAGTCCACAGAGACTTTTCACGTCGATGACCGGGTCGATCGGTTCCTGTTTTTGAGTTCGGAAGGAGGGTCGGGTCGGTACATGGTCAATGCTGCTGAACGGGCGGGTCTCGAACGACTTCGTTTTCGGAGTCGTGCAGCAGGCTGGCAGCAGGCTGGCCATTGCTGGCCCATCAGTTTTGCAAATGGCTTGAATCCTAAACAAGGATTGGTTGGAAGGCTAGGGGGCTGGTTCAAAGTAATTGAACCAAATTGTCTTGCATACTCATCCCATCTGCTGCTATAGATGCCGCTCTGCACGACACAGGACCCAGCCCTTCCCTGGAAGAGGACTCCAGGGCTCGATGCGGTGCTCGACGGAAGCCACATGAAGCCACGAAGTTGCCCGAAGGTACTTCGCGATTCAACGGAAAAGAAACGCAAGGTGAGTAGAATATATGCACATACATACCCCGGCCTCCTCGTAAATGAGCATGAAGGGTTCGTCCATGGCTGCATCATACCCATCCAACACGGCCAAGGCATCATCCAGTGGCTCTCCGCCAAAAAGGTACCCACAGACCGCATCGCGTGACTTTAACTTGTAGCCGCTGTGCAAGGGGTTGAAGCCCAGTAGCTTCAAAGCGTCGTACATCGACTGTGTTCCTGTCCTTGGTGCTCCAACATCTAAGAGAAAGCCCGTGCTCAAAGACCAAAGGCTTAGGCCCAGCAACGCGGAGGTTTGCATTGCGGGATCGGTTCAGTGTCACCAGGGGGTCTCCCTCCCGGGGCCATTTGCTGCGGAATGCATGGAATCTCATGCAATGAATGCAAAGGTCCGGTGGCTGATGCAGCCAAGTCATCTTCCTGTAGGGATCCACTCGTACTGTACCCTCTTTCGGTAAGGTGATTGGACCCGACCATCGCGCCTACATAAGAGAGTCGAACACATCACCGTACCTCAGAGGGTGCCAGTAGATCCTTAAGGTTCCACGTTGCAGGTGTCCATGACAATCCTTCCAAGTGTCACACATGGAACCTCTATGAACCCCATCGAGAGTAGAGACTGGAAAGGACTTGGGTTGGATCCTGCTATGGTATGCGTTGTCAACAAGTGCAAATGTGGTCAAGAACATCTTCCCCAACAAAAACGGACTCCTAGCTGTATATTTGCTGGCTAGTGCCTAGTATGTATAAACACATCATTCATGTGCGACTCCTTCTGTACACCAGGACGCATGTATCAGTTCCTTGCTCTCTGGTACTCCAGCAGGGTCGTCTTTCCGGTCAATGAATGCAGCCAGCACGTGACCAACATGGCCATCAGGTGGAGCAAACAAAAACCCTGCCGACAACCAGTATTCATATACACTACTCAGAGATTGGAGATCAAATTAAGAACACTCAGTTTTATATAATATATAGGATTATATAGGTCACAGCAAGTCTTGGTTTCGGCTTGAATGTAGGGAGTGACCCAGTCACCCAGTCCCAATGTTCTCTGATGTTCACCTCAGGTAGCTGGAGGTTGATCGATCGAGAGCCTAGCCTTTCAAGACTAAATTCTAAACGGTTGACCAGGTTTCGTAGTGTAAAATCCTTACAGTAAAGCACCTGGTGTTTCGGGCTTCAGACCATTGAATCAATGGTGCTTGGAATCCTGGAAAGAACCTACTGTATATTAGGTGACCGCGATGGTTCCAAACTGACTCCGTTTCTAGCTCCGTTTCTACCCGACATCGCCGACATCCCTCGACCTTCTCCGCGACCTTCTGTGGATGTTCGCCTGGCAGGTGGAGATCAGAAGAGGGGGAGGTTTGAACCAGTTGATAGGCTATACCAGCACCCGACTCTACAGGTCTCTTCTGGTGGCTTTTGCACACTTCACAGTCGCAGGTGGTGACCTGTTGGAGGGTGGTGGCAGGTGTTTCTTGTTCTTACTCACTCAAGGTGCCCCTAGGTCCTAGGTACATTCACCCTAATCAAGATCTTCGGTTCTGTGAGACAAGAACAAAAAAGATCTCCCTCGTACAAGGCGGACCTTCAGAATATGGATGTGTCATTAAGTATCGTAGGGAGACCTCCCAGTTCGACCCCTGGAAGAATTCAGAACATACAGTACACTGTAGACCAGTTCGAACCCAGCCAGGGCCAGGGGGTCTCCCCCATTGGGCCAGGGGGTCTCCCTTACTTCATTACATGCCCATATGAGCGCCCGACGAACTCTGGTAATACTTAGCTGTTTCGGACCTTGCCTAGAGAATGGATCGGCCCTGGCGATGCAGGTTTGATGCAGGCTTCCAATCTCCCACCACCCTGTGACTACAATTTTCGCATGAGATGGCATGCTCATACCACCCGATTTTGCTCATATGATGCTCAATGATGCCAAGGCGGCTGCGACCCCGGTGAAAACCACCGGGACAGAAACACAGGGAGTGAGCCACCCAACAACCCTCCAAGAGAGGCCGCCAACAGGCGCCTGTTGGAGGGTGTATGGTTGTTGTGTGTTGTTCGTTTCTTTTTGTTGGGGGGGGGTCCCCAAATAGACCATTGCTCGCTGTCCAAGACCTGTTGACAGGGAGTTTCACTTTTCATTACTTCTCGTTGGGTCTTAGATATGTGTATATACATGCATATACCGTATACCGCTAGTCCAAACGATTGTTCCACTCGTCCGGTGGCCGGGGGTGGAGTCGACAGCATTGACTAGCAACGGTCTGTTTAACACAACATGTTTCAAGGGAAAACAACAATAAGCAACGCTCAAGCTGGCTGCCTGGCATGTTGCTGAAACTTGAAACAGCGGAGTTAAAAACGGGTGTCTGTCAACCCCAAGTGCACGGACATTATATTAACCACCTCATTTGGAACTCCTGGCAAACAACATCCCAGCTTACAGGAACTTCATACAACCAACCCCTCTTCGAGGGGACAACGGAGGCTCAAAAGGATATGTGTGAGTAAATGCTAGTAAATGCGGTGCCCCCTGCAGAACAGTGAAAAGGTGAAAGTAGGCCTAAAGCTACCTATGGCATCACACAGCTGTGGGCCAATCCTTCCCCTGCAAAACACAAGTTGATTGAACAAGAACGCATACCCATACCAACCCATACCCACATTGAGCTAGATGACCCTCTCCTCTTGCAGCAGCCCAATCACAATGCCTTCTTCTTCAGGCTCTTCCGTTGGTATCACTCCAAAAGCCAACAACCTGCCCAGGCGAGTGAAAGAAAGGACATCTTTGATCGGACAGGTTTAATCATTTGATGATATTTGATGGAAAGGGACTGGCTTGTCAAGCGACATATTCCTGGGAAGTGATGGAGAAAGCCCACTAAATCCTTGGTGCAGCGACTTTTCTATGTCTAAAGTCTAAAGAACCCTTAGTTGGAATGTACTTTAACAAGCACATCTCCCATGTCGCCGCCAGCTCAAGCTTCAGCTCCTCCGCCACGGCTCCCCTCCGTCGCGGTTCCCACCCCGCGCGCGCACCGGGTGTTCAGCGACACTTGGAGCGAGACCAAGGGAAGATCCTCGGCGGATCGAAGGTCGAAAGGGATCGAACGTCGATCCTCGCGTTCGATCGTTAACACCCGAGGAAGACGCGGGGGGTCGTGGGTCAGCCTGGCTGGTCGCGAAAAAACCATGAGTGATTCGGTTGGAAAAAGCGGGTGGAAAACACCCAGTTCACTGGACCCTCCGTTCGTACCTCGGAAGACTGGGTAGCTGTTGATTTACGATTATTTACGGTATATGTTGTTTCCGCGGGTATGGGTCAAATGATATCCTCATGCACCCCCCCAGCGCACAAACAAACACACACAAAAATGAATTAATTATAAATATAAACAATGTTTTAAACGATTGAAACTTGGGCCCTCCCTGACTACCTCAGAACATGTGTAATTCATTGCATGCCTGGTGTCCGAAATTGTCATTGGGCTCAAAACGAGGCTCAAAACGGGTCCAAAACTGTTTCGGACCCCGGTCATTGGACGTCCGGGTCCAGGGAACCACAGTGCAGTGCAGCTGTGGATCCGGGGCGACCCATCCACCCTCGGAAGGGAACCGGGACATAGAAGTCCCAGGAAGGGACATGTCATTAGCGGTAGGGTGATGTGTTCGATTGCCTTCATGTAGGCGCCAGGAGGGTCCAAATACCTAGACCCTCCATTTCGTAACTTTGAAAATGGGACATGCCCCCATGAAAACAGGTACTTGTACAGATTTTCAGCGCTACTTTGAGACTCCAGGTACCTTCTGAGAAGGTATTTGGCTCCCTAGCAGCAGGGAATCCACATGTCTGGCGGCCTTTCCACTGGCGGCGTTTGGTGTGCCCATCTTTTTCTCCACCGGTTTCAGGAGAGAAAAGGTAACGCAGCCGGGATGCTAGGTGACCAGCCTGTGTTCGTTTTGTTCGTTTTCTTCACTCGCTTCGCCAAGCGTCATTCGGGTCGTAGGGGAGGTATGGATCCTGAAGAAGAAGACGCGAGGAAACCCCGAAGGAAGCCGCGAAGGTTGGGATTTGACAAAATCAGCCTCTCAACCTCCAAAAATATGTCCTATCAAAACATGTCTGGGTCTGTAGGACATTGTAGGACCATGTCAACAGCCACCACATCAAGGTATATTACCTATACAGCCTACTGCTCAACTCCTCCAAGACGTCGCCGGTGTTCTTCACGGCGTGGTACACCATCACCACGCAAAAGGTGCCAAAGCTCCTGTGGACTCATCTGGCGAGCTGACAAACTGGCGTGAGATGCAAAAAGAACCACCTGGGTGCAAACAGCAAGTTGTGTTGTGAAAACCTATTGAACATGAGACAGGACTTGGCCGTACTGAGCGGAAACCTGATACTGTTTGGGCGCTTTTTTCGTTGTTCAAAAGCAGGACACAACTTGTCATATATCCTAGCTATATAGACTTTCGGCAAAACACACCAGCAGTCACAAAGGGGTGCCGAACTTGGAGGATAGGGGTGCCCATTATCCACTCACTGGATGGGACTAAACACCACCCCTTTGTGACTCCTGGCATCTGTTTTTTCCCGGAAAGAGCGGCTCTTCCCAAGCGCACATCTTGTGCACTGGAACGGTCCACTGCAGATAAACACACGACACTGCACTGCTTCCACAATCTGGCAAGCTACTGTCGTGTGCGCGTGTTTCTTTGCTTTGGACGGTCCTACCTTGCGGAAGGAACAAACACAGAGCCAAACACTTAAAGCCACTCAAAAGTTGAACAAACATCTGTCACAACATACGAGAAGGAAAAAGGCAGAAATACCTGGGACAAAAACCGGAAATAACAAGAAAAGCCAGACATATATTGAATTCACCAACAAGGGCTTTTGAAGGGAATGAACATATGCTGCACCCTATTTTTGGTGTATTTCATGAATGACAACATCGCCCTTGGGGGGTGTGAGCTCTTGAGATGCAAAACTATGTCCTTGCAGAACTACACGCAGTACGGTATGCAACAACCTGGTGATGGTTTATGGGCAGTGGTGATGGCTGTTGGATTGAGGTTAAATTTAAATGAGGGCAATTGGACTGAGGCATGAAACAAAACTATATACAAAACTATCCTCAGTCCAATAAGGAGCAAAACTATCCTCAGTCCAATAAGAAGCAGTCCTTTTGCTCCAAAATAACCAGGAGCAAACAGCAAAAGAGGTGAGAAGGGGGCTACACCGCGAGTCGCTGAACGACCTCGCTTTGTTCCGGGATGTGGCAGGACCTCTCACCTACACCCTCCAGGTGAAAGACCTCATGTAAACCAGTTGGTCATACGAACAACTGGTTTACAGGATTTACGGTGAAAGACCTGGTTTTACAAATGGATTTTACATGACTTTACAGTTGTTACTACTCAGTTGGAGGTCTTCAGGACCAGGCTTGGAATTTACACGGGTCAGACTTGGACCTGGTCCGGGTACATGGTACAACGTGGTACATTCGTCTGTAGCCAACTTGAAGATACTCCCCCCTGGCCCCTCGGCCTGAGTCGATCCTTCCCGGCGCTTTCGACGCGTTCAGCTGCGTCTCTTCGCTTCTCCGTCTCATCTCTTTCGTCGTTCCTTCCCGATCTCCGGTCCCCACGGAGTGAATCACTGGAACAACACCCAACACCAAGGCCCACTGGAAACCCCAAACGAAACGAAGCCCCCCAGTGTCTGGGCCGTTGTCCTCCTCTTTGGGAAACGCGTCTCCGGTGCCGAGTTTCGTGCGTGCCCGTTCGGTCCAGGGATGTCTTCCCCTTCGCTCCTGGAGAACTGTTCGAAGACGATGCCGTTGATGACCATAGGAGTCATCAAGGTGAAGAGCCAAAGCATCACCTTCACCGGCTTTTCGTGTAGAGATCGGTCCAGGTGAGGTCCGGGTAGTGGTCCATCCAGGGGTGGGTCAATCCAGGGGTAGCCCGGTCTGAGATTTCTCTTACCTCACCAGCGGAGTTTTGAAGCCGAGCTGAGCTGACGGTTTTTTTTGCTTCGACCGTGTTTTCTTCTTCACGAGGAAGAGCGGTTTTGAGGGAGAGCGGTTTTCACGAGTGATGGTGCACGGTGCACGGTGCACGGTGCGCAGGTTGTGGCCTTTCTTGGGGGGGGGCCACTGCTCACCGCGTGACGAACCGGTGCTGGCCGGGTCGCCGGTGCGACACGGTGCGACACCGGTTTCGTGGCGTTCCGAGAGGGGAACGGGCGAACGGGGAGTAGAAGAAAACAAACAGAACATACCAAATACCTATATATATATATATATAGGTTTCCGTTCGCAAAAGAAAAGAGCCGTACTACCGTACCAAGCAACCATTGTTATACTTAAAGCATTTCCAACTACAACAGCAACAGGTCCTGGAAGCCCAGGGAGCACCACCCACTTCTGGGTGGTGATCTGGGTGGTGACCGGATGGTGACCGTGGCATGGAAAAGGGCGGTGTTTTTCAACCACCCAGTGCCTGGGTGGAGCTGGTCAGGAGTTTCAACCAAAACAGGATGCCCTCCCCGAACTTGTTGGGATGTCCACGGTCGACCAGAGTGTCCACGGATGCAAATTCAAACGCCCGCGTTCCTTTTCTTGAACACTCCAATGCATCAAAAAAGGTCACGCTCATTCAACAAAACAAAACAAAACACACATCGCATGGGCACACCATTGCTGATGCTGAACATGTTCTTTCGCTTATGCAAAGATAGCGCTTGCTGTCGGGGTATCTGGAGACCGTCCTAAGTACGAGTAGTGTGGGGTCCAGCCAGGTGATCACACATGTCATACCCTCTGATCTGCTTATCTGAATCTCAGAGATCGTTATGGGAACCTCTGAAAGTCTTCAGAATCCCTAAGGCTAGAGATCCACTGCCACCTTCTCAGGTTCGGTACGACTGGGTCCTCCTGGCGGCCACATAAATAGCCTCCAATCACCTTCTCAGAAGGTATGTGGATCCGTAGGGATCGTCGATCAAGTGGTCCCATGACCATTTGACCATCAGCCGCGTCGTTCTTCGTTGGTTGCACATGCTGGCGGGCGTTCTGGAATTGCACGGATCGTAAGTTGATATCCGAACTCTAATATAGAGCTAAATACACACAACATGATCAAGGCCCTGCCAAAACCCCTAAGGGGTGGTTAATGGATGCCCCTTAACCTCTAAGGAGCTATAATTAGATACCCCTTATGGGGGGCCCTGGTGGTGTCTGTGTTTCAATTCCCACCTGACCACGCTCCGCTCCAACACCCCAAAGGCGGCCGAAGGCGGCCTGACATCGGCCCTGGCCTCAACGAAGTTCTGATATGGAAAAGGGAAGGGGATCTTCGCCTTGGTGAAACGATCGGTGAGGCCCAATTCCCTTCACAGCCGACGCACCGAAACAGGGGACGAGATATTCCGTAGCTGAACATGTGAGATATTCCGTAGCTGTAGCTGAACAAAGGGTGACAGTGGGGGGACGCATGGGAACACAAATCACCGGCGCATCTCGTTAAACTCACCATAGGAATCTTCGTTCGATTTCGGAGATGTAGGAACTTCCCTCCTGATTAACAAGAAACTATGTTCCCATTTGGCTTGGTCCAACCCTCCACGGCCTGAGTTCAGGGCTCGGGCTGCCTGGCAAAGTGTCGGGTTCAAACATTCTTGGAGCCAAGATCCAACCGCCACGATCCACGGGGGGACCCGACCGAGACGTGAACGTCATTCGTCTGCTGCCAAAAGGCGCTTTTCGAAGAGGTGAAGAACCATAAAGTGCCATCCGAAATGACCTGGCGCGTGATCGCGGAATCTGGAATCGCTCTTTTGATGCTTGATGCAACTGCGTGGTGTTCTGTTTGGGTCTTTGGAAACAGTAGGAAACATGAATCGATGTTGTAGGTTGGTTTCCTATGCAAACTGTACAATTAAGAAATTCAGTCCTATAGGTGAAGCCCGAAAACAAACATTCATTCATGTGTAAATGAACTAACTTAGTTGTTTATGACCGCGGGGAGCTTTTATGATCGTGTATCATGTGTATCAACACCTGTTGATAGCACACCTGCTTATCTGAATCTCAGAGATCGTTATGGGAACCTCTGAAAGTCTTCAGAATCCCTAAGGCTAGAGATCCACTGCCACCTTCTCAGGTTCGGTACGACTGGGTCCTCCAAGACCACCCACATAAATCATCTCCAATCACCTTCTCAGAAGGTATGTGGATCCGCAAAAGGCTATACGGTCTGAACATCTTCAGAATCGCCTGATCTTTTCGATTCTGTCGCCCACAGAAACCCATCAACCCGCCCCACCACCCACCAAGCTCATCAGCGACCGCTCCGATCGAACCAGCGCTCCGATCGAGAAAAGACCACCCGAGAACTGGGTCGATTCGAGTCTCCAACCTGACGCATCGACACGACGATGCGTCAGGTCGTGGACAAAAAACATGGAAGCACCTACTGCAGGTTCAATGACCCAGTAAAACCTGGTCCTCTACCTCATTCAAATTCAGAAGTTGTTGCAGGATCGACTTCAGCAAAATGAGGTCGTTGACCTGTATACGGCTTCTCTGAACCGAGAGCGAACGCCATATTTGGAAGCTGAAGGCTTTTAAGGGAATGTCCAAATCAAGTGTGTGCTTGTTGCACCAGTAGATCACGCTTGACCCACTCAAAGCACAAAAAAACGCCCGAACACGTGCTTTTCTTCCGTAGCTTTGACAACGTACGTAGCACTGCAAGGCTGCAATGCCTCGCTCCAATCAAAGCCAGCTAAGGTTGCTGCACGATCTGCAAATTAGATTCTGCACCCGTTCTCCCCGCACATCTCATGCCTCTGCACGCCGCAAAGAAAAGCGGTGCCGTGCAGTGTGCAAGCTGGTTGCAACTTGGAGATCACTTAACAAAAAAACAACACATCCCAGTCGGAGCAAGTCTATACAGGACACATAGCTTACATGAGCACCTTTGGCAGATGGGGGGCGCCGTGCCCCCGTGTCCGCTCCACGGACAGGAGGCGGAGGCAAGTGCCATATACATCGAAAACTGAGAAAAACGCACTCTTTCGAGTGGTGCGTTCTTGTGAAGGCGGGAATCATCTCAAATCATGTGGGCATGTCTCCTATTCTAAAGGAGGAGAACCATTAGAAACCAAGGAGGTTCCCGACAAATGTTCATACTGCATTCGCGCTCTCCGCTACACAATTTTGAGACAAACCCAGCTGGAACATGACATTGCCAGTTTCACAATGACATGTTCTACCCGCCAGTTTTATGGTCGGGCAAAATTGATAGCAACGAGGGCCAAGAAGGCCACCAAAGATGCTCCAGACGCGCCACTGCTCTCGCTGGTAGATGGACATTCGAACTCCCAGAAGGACATGGTTCCAGACCAAGCTCCTCCGAACATCACGCCCGCCTTTCCCGAAGGAGAATGAGCATCATCCAGAAAAATCATCGCCTCGACAAATGAACATCTTTGGCCGTGCAGTTCACTGGAAAGGATGACTGCTGGAATTGGAGGGGGTCGCAAATCTGGATCTCATTCCCCCACCACATGTACCTCCAAACAGCGTTCTTTTTCGGGAAATCAAAGGCATCCGGCATCCCTCCTTGGCCGTTCATCTACGGGCTGGGGGTCTGAGTTGACGTGCCGAATTTCTCGATGCGGAACCTGGCATGAATTAGTTGGGATGTCCAATCTTCTGAATGTGTCCCAATCTTCTGCCGTGCCAGCCAGTCCGATGAATGGGTGAAAGTATCGATAGTCTTACTATATACATGGGATTGAATATGTGCACCCTTCAGACCCGTCTGCTCCAGCTGGCAATCACCACAGTGGGCCCCGCCAACAAAACTTCGAACAACGGATGGAACAAAGGAATCCGAAGAAAACACATGGGAACAAATTGATTGCAAAACAGAATGCAGCCCTACCCAATCACTCCACCTTACCCAAATTTACTCAATAAATACATTGTATGCCATTTTGTAGTGGCTTCAGGGGTGAATGCAAGTAAACCAGTCCCATGAAATGTTGGGGCTATAGGCCAATGCCAAAGAGTTCTATTTGATTCCCAATCAGTTTACTGTCCAAAAAACTTGACCAATATCGACTCCGGACTCCCTAGTCTTCAAAAACAATCAAAGGAATGGTTGACCTGATTTGTAATCAAGAATCTTAGCAAAAGCAATGATTGTTTTGTAAAGACCATTGGAACACCTTTAGGGCTGTTGGGATGATGGAATCCCTGCAGAATCTCAGAATGACCCCATCGGTTATTTATTCCATATGGTTGTTATAATGTCTGTTGGAGAATGGCCTCCAGTTCCAAATGATCGTCAAACGTTTGCACGTTTTTGTTTCACTCCATGTGTGGGCTGCTCAAGTTTCTGACCGCAGTCGGAAGCAGTGACAAGATGTGGGACTTTTCTTTGGTGAACCCTCCACTCCATCCGCCTCTCTCGTTCTAGGCCCCTCCCTGGACCGGGGCCTCCGGGTCGATCTCTCCCAAGGACCGGTCGGCATAGGCGACGCCCGGGTTCTTCGTTTCAGAGGCGGGGGAGAGGTGCTTGACGAAGAGAAGGCTGGGAGAGTCGATGTGGGAGATGTCATAGACAAAGACCTCAACGGTTCTGTTGCAAGGTGTTCCTGCACCCTCGGGTCCAAGTGGTCTGGGGCCTTTTGGCCGGGAAAATGGGGGGGAAATGAGGCCTGAGTTGTGAAAGATATGTTCACGATGTTGCAAAAGTATTTGTTCATGTGTGTATTTGTGGGTGATTTCTACAACCGTCTGCAAATGTAGAGGTAGCAAACCTTGCACCAGAGGGACATTTCAGGTGTGTTCCTTTTGTAAGGGTCCTACCTATGCCTATATCCAAATGTTTATCAATTGGATGATAGCCTATATATATATATTATAGATTATTGAATAATTTACTCAACTTTCTTTGTCACAGGTTTACTCCTTTATGGTAGAACCTTGAATATTTGCAAAGGTCGTCTTGATTGAACAACATATGTTCTTTTCACCATCATCTTTGCAATAGCTGTCTTGCTTGATGAACACAATGGAATACAGTACTTCAACGTGGCGTGTGAGACATTTTGGCTGCATTATTTGACGCAATGTTACCCTGGTGAATGTATGTTTCTGGTGAATGTCCTTTTGGTCTGGAACCTGGAACCGATTTGTAAGCAAGAAGTGCACACTACATGTGCTAAAAACAACAGTGTAAAAGTCAAGCACGTGCTTGCCTTCAAGGAAAGCCTCTATGTCAAAATGTTCAACAGAACTGCCAAGGAACTGAGGTCTTTCAACAGCGGGTAGACTTAAAGAATCTGATTCTAAGAAAATTCCTGCTGTCCAAGGAACACCTCTTCTCTTTGATACAACTAGAAAATCAAAAGTGTCTTTCACAAAAAGGCGCAGCTGTCAAATAGAATGCATTGCCTAAATCTACTCTAATTAAGCAAAATACCTGCACCTACATAGAAGCGGGCATGAGGCAGTTGGGTGCCTTTGAACCCTTGTGTCAACTTGCAAGAATGCACACAGGCAGGGAAATGCTGTGCATAGAAGCAGGGATGCAATTGCGTCGCAAAGAAAAGTGTCCAACATGTTAAGGTGTCCAACATGTTAAGATACGCACACTCAGAATCCGACTCACGCACACAAACACACAAAACAGGCAACACACATGCAAATAATTAATGTTACCACATCTGACTTCATAGTCTTTGCAGTGTAATTTACTTTTGGAAACGTGCCTGGAGGGGGTCACCCAAAAGCAGAACTGGAGAGAGACCGCTCCCAGATCTGGCTCCAAAGTCTCTGCAGTTTTTAGATTACAGGAAGTGTTTACACGTTTCTTCTTCAGATGTTGCTTCCATTGATTAATGCATTTGCAGGATCAAGGAGCCCGCTTTCTTGCTTTAAGAAACCTGCAAGAAGCTCGGGCCCCATGCCCACCCCCCTTCTGGATGGCATTCCGGATCTTCAAATTTCACCGAAGTGTTCAACGATTTCTTCAACAACATTCAAAAACAATTGACTATGTTCCTTCCTCCAATTCATTTCATATGGATGCCCAGCTCTCCAAGTCACCGTGCTGGACTTCTCCGTGGCGGTGACCGCCATCAGCGAACCACAGGCCTGGCCCGCCACGATGGCCTCCGTCCCAGCGCCGTCCTTCTCGGAGCGATCGTCCACCGTCTGCCCCAGGGGACAGGCGCCCGGGCGGCCGTCGCCGCCGTCGGAGCACTCCGCGGCCATCTCCTCCAACGTCTCGCGGATCTTGGAATCCTGGGATGGGTGGATCTCAAGGATGCGAAGTGAAGGGTTTGAAAAAGATGCGGGCAAAAAGCGCATCCACGAACACCCCCATCACATCACTCTTATTAACACCTCTTGATCTTCTGGAAATGGTTTTGAAGCAAGGAATTGCCAGGGATTCCACCAAACAAACAGTGTCCCCAAAAAACGACATGGGATCTGTTGAAAGGAGCGTTTGGTGAGGATGGTCGTGAGGGGGTGTCACTCTATCCGAGCTGAACCCAACAGATTCCAGAAGGGCTTGTGATTTTAAGCTTCGGACCGAAGTGCTAGGCTCAAAAAAAAATAAATATATATATATAATATATACACACTCAAATGGAATTCTTATCAGCCCTCTCTCTGCTGATCTCTGCTCTATGACATCGGCTCCGGATAGGGGGATTCCAAAATTCAGCTTGTCTTCAGCTAGGTGTCCATCATGTACAAAGTCCCGTTCACCGGCGAGAACTCTTCGTCTTGGATGGCATTGTGCGCCCAGGGGAAATGAGCGCATTGCTGTGTCTCGAACTCCGCACCAGAGTCCCAGGTCAAGGACAGACCGCCGGCGGAGTGTTCGTAGATGGAGATGCCACGACCGCCAAAGGCCACAATGTGCTGAATCTGCGGAGCTGAGGTGTTGGAGTAGTCGACGGCAGTGGAGCCGACAGTGACCCTGAGCGGATGGGAATAGGAGTCATTGACGAGTCATTGATCATCAGCTGAACAAATCCTTTGAAACATGAAGAGGTCAAGCCACTGGCAGCCTGGTGGCCTGTGCTTGTGAACTATGGTTTCCTCTTTGGCTCGTTGCGCGTGCCTACGTGGATATCCCCCTGATTGGCTCCCGAGTTTCCAACTCTTCATCTTATGGCCTAGAGCAACCATCTACTTACCTGGAGTCCCAAAATACACAGAAAATGGGTATAAGTCATGTCCCATTTTCCAAGGTACTTTGGAGGGTCCAGGTACCAAGGAAGGTCTGAGAAGGGGAGAAGGTTTGTTATTTGAGAGTGTAACTATATAACTATAACCACATATACTGTAACTGCCAATCCTCCAACAAGCATGGCAGTGGAATGCACTTTCTTTGGGAAGACGATTTTCCTGTACCAACAGGGCTGTCTACTGTCCACTTCCATGGTTTATTGGAGGAAAAGTATCATTCTGATTTATGAGATCTACATATATATAATATGTGACATAATATGTGTGTATATTTCTGATAAAGTAGTTGAGAGTTGTTGAGAGTGGTCGTAGGCCGTTCAGCTTCCTGAGATGGCAGGTTCGGCATCGCAAGCACTGACCAATTTGTTCACATGATAGTAAACATGCCACATGGTTTTGGCCCCGAACAAACATCCTACAAGTAGTAGATTGACTTTGTCTGATTCAGGAAAAAAAGAAACGCATATTCCCCGGTCCCCAGAAGTTGTTTTACCCATATTGGGATTATAACCCTAACCGAGAGCAGGCTGAGCATCTAAAAAACAATACAAACGTCTTACGTTTGTCTACTGTTGTCGACTGCTTTCCTCTATATTCAATGCTGTTGAGATTTTGTGCTTTGAGAGTTTGGCCCAGACCATCCACCCTTTGTCATCCTTTGTCCATCTCACCTGTTTCAAGTTCAATTATTGGAACATCTACCAGGACCCGACGACAAACAGGTCACCAATGGTTCGACCTGAGACAGGGTCCAACAACCCTCATATCCCACAGCCTGGCCAGGAGGGTGCTGGTAGGGAAACCGATCTTCAAAAACATAAATTGTTTCCTGATTCTCTGGTCAAAGTTCCGCAAGTTGTCGGTGCATGAACTGCCAGGGCCGCGCTTGCAGCATCCGCGCTAATGGTCATCCCCAGCATGTCGGAATCTGGGGTGCCATCAGAGTCCACCAAATCCTGCAGGAAAAGAACGCATCGTAGTGGAGCCACATTGACGCAAACATGTTCATGTCTTAGAAAAAGGGGCGAGGCACTTAAATTCATGAACTGTTGATACGCTCTTAAACCACTATCCTTAAGCAACAATCAAATGTAAATCATTGCAAGTGGTATGCAAAATTTATTGCATCAAACAGAAGCGGCTGGCACTACGTTCACAACAAGTGAAAGTTCATAGATTAATAATAGCACTCCAGGACTGACTGCTTTTTTACGCTTTCAGTCTCCCAGTGTTTGTCGCGCCTTTAACTTCAACTTTTCCTCCCAATCTCCATAGTCCTGACTGAACACATCAGAATCTTGCATTCCACTACCAACTGGTCATAAAATTCAATTATATATATATTGTTGATGTGTCACTCGTACCCAAGCCAACCTTGGTACTCGCTACCAGCTAAGTGGATCAAAATCCAGTGTCCTAGTGCTCCGCCGGGTTCATTCGCCCTCGCCCGTTCGACCGCTTTGCGCTGTCCTTTCCGTGCGAGTTGATTGAAGAGAGCTAGACACTTATTTCCATCAAGCTTGACCGTCGTTGACGCCGGGAGTATCCCCGCAACAGCTGGCTTGTGAGAAGGGGCTACCTGCATGGTAGCGGAGCCTTGTGCTCCAGTAGGATGTGGACAGGTGATGCTTTGTACTCTGCACTGCCGAGCCGTACAGAGTCGACAGGTGGCCTCAACACTGGGGTACAGAAGAGCAAGGATGGAGTGCCCGTCTGGGGGGGAGAAGCTGTTTGCTTTGAAGAGTTCATTGAAATGTGCCTCCTCTACGAGCAGACCGTGGTCAAAGAGAAGCGGTACCTGTGCGGTCCTCGCATAGCTGCTGAACTTCGTGGACCGGCCCGGAGAGTGTTGATTGGGAAGCCAGCCAACTGGCTGTCTCATGACGGTGGGGTGCGTGTCTTGGTTGCTGCCCTTCGCGCCGAACGAGGACAACCCAAAGTGCCCGAGATGTCCGAGCTTTTGCTGAAGTACTTCCGTGGAACGAAGAGACAACGGGGCGAACCCATGGGAGATTTCATTCTGCGAAAGGCTGAGGCCTACACTCGAGCCCAACAGTCAATGGCACGATACCAGCGAGACCATGGCATGGCATCGACCTCAACGTGGCCGGCATCGTCAACTGCAGGACGCCATCCAAGCTCTCACACCCGCAGTGAGCCAGGGGGAGAGAGTCAGCAGGGGCCTCATGAGGTCTCGTCTGGACAAGGAGACTCAGAGTTCCAAGATCCCATCGAAGAGTGGGACACCCACTACAATGGTTGGCAGGGCTACTATGACTGGTCCTGGTATGACTCCTACGGGCAGTCGTGGTCAAGGGATGATCGCCAGGATACCAGCGAATGGAGCCGCCATCAGCTTCCGGAGATTCTGCCAGACTTTATCCAGGGTTGGTACTTGTTCATGGACTCCGGCCTGGATGTGATGGAACGAAATGTTCTCCATGCGGAACTTCGTGGAGAGTTTGGAGTTCGAGTCGTGGAGGAGGTCCTCCGCAAGCATTGGTCGGACAGTGACATCCGGAAGCGAGACGCGGAAAAGGGGCGATTCCTTGCCAACTACTCAGGTCCCGATGATCTGGAAGAGGAGTGGGGCCACATGGGGGAATGTGATCCCATGAGCTTGGAGGCTGAGGGTTTCTCCGTGGACGAGATTGAGGCCATGGTAGCTGAAGAAGAAAGAGCCAGAAGTGCCATGACGGCCATTCAGGACAACCGCCGCACCTTGAGAGATGCGAGGGCACGGCAACATGCCGTGAAGATGTCGCGGCAGTTCTATGGCCGACCAGCTGCTTCTGGTGGAAGGGATGACGGCAATCGTGCTCGGGCTCCAATGAAGTGCTTCCGATGTGGTGGTCCGCACAGGATCGCTGAGTGCAAGGAGAAGCCCAAGCCGCCTTCGCAGGGTCACATGGCGGAGGAAGCTGCTCCGTTCGTCTTCTGGAACGAGCACGTGGCAGGCATGGCTGGGGCCTGCGACATGTCAACAGAATCATCCCAAAGTTTTATATCCACCACCCAAGCCGTTGCTGAAGGCAAGGCGGTGTTGGACGGCGGTGCGACTAGGACCATAGGTTCGATCACGGCCCTGGAACGTGTGACTGATTTGAACACCCGGAAACGGGGAGCGACAGGGGTAGCCAATATCGATTTTTCCGATAGACCCATTTTTGGGTTTGGGAATTCGAGCAAGAACCAGTGCGCCTCAACGGCGGATCTGCAAGTGCCGATGGCCGGCAGGTTGGGTACCATGAGGGTACACGCCTTAGATGAAGGCTCAGCACCGATTCTTCTATCCATACATTCGCTACGGCGACTAGGTGCCGTGATCGATTTTGAAAATGATTTGGCAGTTTTTCGTCATGTTGATCCCAAAAAGATGATTCGCCTGGAACGGTCATCCGCGGGACATCAATTGATGCCCCTGACGGACGACATTTACACGCAGGCTGTGGATCTGGCGAAGCCGCTGGGATCCTTGAAGGACTTGGAGTAGGGACAACTCCTTTCTGCCTCGGACCCTGCCCCAGGTAGAAAGGTCGAAAGTGCTGCAGGGAAGGTTGGGTACGAGTTTGGGGAACTCGAACATGATTCATTTTGGAACTCGAAGAATAGCGGAAAGACCCATGGGAACAAGAAAGATAAACACCAGGACATTCACAACATGGACCAAGAGTGCCCCTTGAATCGACCACCGGGCCAAGGTCAATGTGGAACAACTCAGGATAATGAAGCACATCAACACGTACAGACACATGACGCGCACACTCGTTCGAATTCGCGCCCGTCGGAGCCTTGGAACCGCCTAGACTCAGGAACTCACCTCACTCGTTCCTCGCTCGCGGTTTTGTCGAAACGATCGAACGACGGACTTCCAGTTTTTGGCTGTGAGTTTCATGCACACTCATGTGAGGCAGATGCATTAGGTCCGACAGGTGAACTGATTGGTGCACCAGTTGAGTCAAGGGCGCCGGCGCGCAGTTTGAGGTTCGAACCGGAACCCCTAGCGCGATTTGAGTGTGTTCATCACGTGCAAGCGAGCCATGTCTTTGAACCAGATGAGCTTGGCAGAGCTACGACAGCGCCTGTCCCAGCACGGCGAAGAGGCGCCGAAGGGTTGGACGAAGGCGCAGCTGAAGCTTCGTCTGATCGAGATCGAAGGAGAAGAGGCCATGCTCCCTCAGGCCAAGGAAGTGTCACCGCTTCGGCAGATGGAGGTGAACACCAACAAGGCAGCTCGCCGCAAGGCGGACCTGCAGAAGTTTGTGAAGGAAGAGATGGGAGTGGATATCACGGGCATGGAGATGACAGTGGAGATCCTCAAGATGAAGGCCTTGAATCGGGCGTACAACAGCATTCCCGGCCATGCGGAGGACCCCGTGGGATTTGGACAGTGGTGCCACTTGAAGTACAAGGAGGTGAAATCCCAGCAACCGGAATACTGCCAGTGGGTGCTGACAACCTCGTCCGAGGGCCCATGCAGTCCACGACTTCGTCGCCTGGCCACATGGCTGAAGTCAGTGGGACACATCGAGACTCCACCCATGCCGGAGAAGAAGGGCACCAAGACGAAGACATCGGGCTACCAGCCCGGAGCAGCGTCGAGCAGCCCTCAGTCGGGATCGGCATCGAGTGCACCTCTGACACCAGAGCAGGGCGAGGAGGTCAAGGCAATGCTTCAGAATTTGATGGTGACGGTGAAGAACCTGTCAGACGACATGGTACAGGTGAAGCAGAGCTCGAAGGAAGCCAAGCGCCGCACTCGTCATGCCGAGGACGTCACTTCTACGAGCGAATGGGACCAAGTGTCGGAGCTGCAGTAGAAGGGCCCATGGAAGCCTATGAGCTCTCGGATGGAGAGACGGCGGATGGGCCTGAATGTGAGAGCCGAGAGCTAAGCCTCTCAGAAGTCAAGACTCTCAGCTGGAAAGCTGAGAGACTGCTTCCTGACAGTATGGAGGCTCTCGTACAGACCAGGAAGCCCATCCTTTTTGAACTTGCTTGCGCACCGGACTCCGTGCTGTCAAAACAGATGCAGCTGATCACCAATCGACCGTCGAGTGCACAGCGTTTTGCATACTGGAACGGACATGATATAGGAACCAATACTGGAGTTCGGGCCATTCTCGTGGCCATCAAGAAACAACGGCCGGAACATGTTTGGATTTCCACGGAATGCGGTCCGTTCAGTCGTATGCAACAGGTGAACCAACGAAACGAAAAACAAGTTTTGGAACTGAAACAAAAACGGGAGTCGTGCATTCGCATGTATGTCGGAGGGCTAGCTATCTACACCTATTGCTACCTACTCGGCATCCCCACCACTTGGGAGTGGTCGGAGACGTGCGACGCGTGGAGGCTTCCGATGGTTCAAAGGGTGTTTCAACGATATCCTCCTTTGTTTTGTGTCACGAAGGGTTGTCGTGTGAACCTGAAAGACCACAAGCAAGGGATGTTGTTGAGCAAGGGTTGGAAGATGGCCACCACACACCGCAGCCTGGCACAACAAATGGAGCTGCCCTGTCAATGTTCCGGAAAACATGCCGTGTGTCAAGGTGCTCTCACGAGGCGTTCCGCATACTACACCACCGAATTCGCTCGTCGTGTTTGTCGCGCCATCCTGCATCCCCAAAGATCCCGTGACATTCATGGAGAACTGTCAGGACAACACGGACCACCCAAATACTTGAAAGAACATGACATGGAGTGTTGTTGTAATGAGATCCACCACCCTCGTAGTGACATGAAGTGTAGCATGTGTGAACTGAGCCACGAATCGGGGGAGGTGTTGAGTTTGGTAGGAGAACGGGAAGAGGATGAACCTGATCTCACTCCCGAGGAAAAAGAAACCGCCCTGAAACATATCGCAATGCTTCATCGAAACACGGGACATGGGCCAATAGAACACCTGGTACGAGCCTTAAAGTCACGACGTGCTGATCCTAGAATCATCGAGCTGGCCCGGACCTTTGATTGCTCAGTGTGTCAGGAGCTCAAACGTCATGTGCCTAGACCTAGAGTGAGTCTCGAACCTTTAGCACCAAAGTGGCATGTACTCCAGTCCGATTGCGCTTTCTGGAATCATCCACACTCGAAGGTTCGGGTTCAGTTCACTTTGTTGATCGACGAAAGTTGTCGGTTTAGGATTGGGAAGGTGATGAGAAAGGGTCCTGGGGGTGTTTCCGGGGAACAAATGATTCAATTCTATCAAGAGTGTTGGAAACCCATTTTTGGAAAGCCCCACAAGTTGAGGGTTGATCCGGCAGGACCTTGGAGGTCACACATGGTGGACGACTACTTTAGTAGAGAACAGGTAGAACTGGACGTGGTGCCTGCAGAGGCCCATTGGGGAATCAGCCAGGTGGAACGAGCAATCCAGTGCACCAAGCACATCATGACCAAGTTGGCACTGGCAGAACCCGAGATCTCACCAGAGGAAGCCCTGTCGGAAGCCGTTCGAGTGGAGAACGAACGAGAGGTCGTTCGTGGATATAGTCCGGCACAACACGCTTTGGGACGGTCTCCTGATGCCCACGGACGTTTTGGCAGTGAAGTCGGACCGATCGATCATGAAACCCTGTGTGAAAACCCCGAAGGTGAGTTTCAACGGAACCAGGAACGTATGAGGACGGCAGAGCAGGCCTTCACCGATTTCGTGTACGACGATCGGATCACTCGAGCCAAGAACACTAGAAGCTATGCTCCTCAGAGGTTCCTTCCTGGAGACCTTGTCTTTGTTTGGAGGATCCAAGGCCTGACCAAAGGACCCGCTGCTTCATCTCGAAGCGGCGGATACACCGGACCTTGTCGAGTGCTCGCCGTCGAAACACGAATGACCGAGGAAGGTAACTATCATCCAGGGTCGGTGGTTTGGTTGGTTCGTGCCGGACGTTTAATTAAGGACAACGTGACTCAACTGAGGCATGCCTCCGCTCGGGAGGAAACACTTGAAGCCATTACCAATCCTAATCCTGTTTTGCCATGGACCTTCACCCAGTTGACCACTGATTTAGGGAACAACAGTTTTGATGATGTTTCTGGTGAAGTCCCTGAACCCATGGAAATCGAGCAAGGTAGGGATGAGGAACAGGTTCGAACGTTTCGACGCGTTCGACAGAAACGTTCCGCACCCGAATGTCCTGTGCCAAGTAGAGAAGCGTCAGGGAGCAATGAAGAACGAAACCCGTTCGGACACATGGCGGACTGCGACATACCCGAGACGTTTCAGGATTCATATGCCGAGTGTTTTTGGGGTTCCAGCCAAGCGGCAGTGGAAATTGGAATCGAAGTTCCTGATAGTAAGAGGGGTAGACTGTACATGACCAATCATTTCCAGTCCTTTTTGTCAGCCCAGCTTCGAAGGAAGGGAGTTGAAGTGTCAGAACGCCACATGTCCGACGACGAACGAGAACAAATGAGGATTGCAAAGGGGACTGAAGTCAAAAAGTTCTTGGCGGCGGATGCATTGAAAGCATTGCCACCACACCTTCAGCCCAGCAGAGGCGTGGCCATGAAAATGCGCTGGGTACTCACCTGGAAGCGCGAAGAGTCCGGTGAACGAAAGGCCAAGGCCCGTTGTGTTGTTCTAGGATACCAGGATCCTTGCTATGCCGAGAGACAGACCATGGCTCCAACTATGTCCAGAAGCACGAGACAAATCCTCCTAGTCGTGGCCGCCAGCCACGGCATGAGAGTTGCCAAGGGAGATGTTTCAGGGGCCTTCCTGCAAGGGAGGTCATACCAACATGATGCCTATGTCATCCCAACTGATGAGATCTGTGACGGACTTGGAATCCCAGCAGGTTCCATCACAAAGCTAAAGAAAGCCTGCTACGGGCTTGTGGATGCGCCGCTGGAGTGGTTTTTGACCGTTTCAGAGTTCCTCATCTCCATCGGCTTTCAACGTTGTGTGTGCGACCCACGCTGCTTCAAGTACACCGACCAACATGGAAAGCTTGTCGGGTTGGTTAGTGGACACGTGGACGACTTCTTGTTTTGTGGCCGGGAGTCATGTGTAACATGGAAGGGTTTGTGTGATCAAATACAAAAGAAGTTTCAGTGGGGGACATGGGAGTACGACTCCTTCACACAATGTGGCGTCAAGGTTGAGAGGACCAAGACAGGAGGCTTCGACCTGTCTCAGACACAGTATATCGACGACATCCGCGAGCTGAGTATTTCGGCCGAACGTCGTCGGGAGCCTAAATCACACACTACTGAAGGAGAAAAGACGAGAATTCGAGCCGTCTTAGGAGCTCTCTCTTGGTGTGCACAACAAACCAGCCCTCACTTAGCAGCTGGAGTTAGTTTGTTTCTTTCACAGGTGCGAGACAGTACGGTTAGTACGATGATAGAAATCAACAAACTGGTGTACAAAACCAAGTGTCATAGGAAGCATGTGTTGAAAATTCATGGTAACATACAGGTTTCTGATCTTCTAGTTGCGGGCTGGGCAGACGCTGCTGCACAAAACAGGCAGGATGGCAAGAGCACGTTAGGGATTGTGATAGGGATCACTTCCAAAAGACTTCTTTCCGGTGATCTTTGTCCTGTGAGTCCTGTGTTTTGGCGTTCAGGAAAAATCGAAAGACAGTGTAGATCACCTGGTGCTGCAGAATCTTTGGCTGCCATTGACTGTGAAGATGCCATGTACGGGATTCGACTTCAGGTTTTTGAGATGCTTGGAAACCATGTTCAGGTGCGACACACTGAGGAACAAGTTGCAAAGATCGCTGGAGTGTTGGTGACAGATTCCACCAACGTCTACGATCGCATGCAGACTGAGGTGTATGTCCCTAAGGGTCCGGAACATAGAACTAGTCTGGAGCTTATCGGCCTCAAGGAAGCTAGTGTAAAGACACAAATGCCGATACGTTGGGTGCACAGCGACGCACAACTGGCAAACTCTCTCACAAAAGATTCGGAGCCCCAACAGCTGCAGAAATTCTATCACCTTGAACAACATTGGAAAATCGTTGACGACCCTCTGATGAGGTCAGCTAGAAACCGCAAACGCCTCGGACTGGACGCCTTGGACAATGCCCATGAAGAGAACCAAAGTTCGGAGAGTTCCGGGGGATGTTGATGTGTCACTCGTACCCAAGCCAACCTTGGTACTCGCTACCAGCTAAGTGGATCAAAATCCAGTGTCCTAGTGCTCCGCCGGGTTCATTCGCCCTCGCCCGTTCGACCGCTTTGCGCTGTCCTTTCCGTGCGAGTTGATTGAAGAGAGCTAGACACTTATTTCCATCAAGCTTGACCGTCGTTGACGCCGGGAGTATCCCCGCAACAGCTGGCTTGTGAGAAGGGGCTACCTGCATATATATACTTCTATCATCTTCTGTCTGGCAAAGTTTTGTATTGTGTTGTGATGTGTTGTGTGTCTCAAACAACGAATCTAGTTGAACAACACACATATAGACCAAAAAAGCCTTATGTTAGCTGATTTGCCCGACCCTCACAGGTTCACTATCAGACCTTGTCATCACCCTCGTTGGCCGTCAAAATGTATGTCTTGCCATCCACTTGCACGGCTTGGATCGAGTCCGGCAAGCGAAGAGATTTGAGCCCAGTGTACCTGGAATACGGATCTCACTGATCTGGGTCTATTTGTTCCTCAACTAGGAGAACATGACACCAAGATATACGTAAGATATTTCCTAAAGCATGCGCTAACTGCTAGCTACTTGACTTCTCAACTCACACGTGGCATGTGGCGCACGTGGCAAGGTTGCAGGTCTTATCGCCCTTATTAATGTCAAGAGGAACCGATGAGTGATCCTTCAAACCCAGCCCAGTGATGCTCGCCAAGGATGGAGCTCCAGAAGTTGGCACCTAGGTGGCAGCAGTTGTGTCTCAATCTGGTTTATCTGGAACATTGACGCTAGCCTCTCATTGTGGAGGAACTACGAGCTTCCTACAAAAGCACAGTCAATCTCAATTATCTGGAGGTACAGTAGTTTTGCTCATGCAACAAAGGTTAGGTTTTCTTTCCAGTTGGAATCTATTTCTCAAACTCGACAGCCCTTCCTGGGAAGGTTTGGTTTGGTGGTATATTAACAACCACGAGGACCAAGAAAGCACCAGTCTCTCCAATCGTGATGGTGGCACCGAAACAAGCTGCTACCCAGTCACAGTGATGGTGGCAATGGCGTTGTTCTCCTGCAGGTTCACAAAGAGAGTGGAGTCATCTGCTGACCAAGCCAAATATTCAGGTTCCAAGTTCCTGGCGTCCGTTGCATGGCTCTCTCCCTCAGGCCAAGCAACTCATGGCTCTCCCAGAAGCAACTCTTCACATGCCCTTAGACTCCCTTAGGCCAAGCCCTACATACCAATGAATAAGAAGGATACGACATAAAGCAGTCAAGAGGGTATACAGTGTGACACTGTACCGAAAAGCATATCACGCGTTATGTACCAATTGCTCCGATCCATTGAGGAGACCCGCTGTGAAACAAGAAATGAACACCACACCGAGGCGCATGGCTGAGCTGTAAGTGGCTCGTGCAGCACTGAAGTCCAAACTAGAAGCAAAGATGGACTGGTCATCCCAATACCTATCGGTGACATAAGTCACATCAGTGACTCATGGCATGTCGCGAAAGATGATGCACATTGGGTATGTAGTAGGGAGACTGATGCCAGGTACAGTAACGCCCCCCTGGAAGAGGGAAGAGATGGACTCTACCCGACCGGAGCGAGATGACTCTGGGGTCTCGAGAGGCGCTACACCCACATGGAAACCACTGAACTCCTCGTGCTTGCGCATCAAAGAGTTGCCACATAAGACACTGGGTTCCGCTTTGAGACCCGGGTCCATCGTGCTCGGTCCACACCGATGTGGAAGAGGTTGACTTCGGGGTTGATACGGATTAGAATGGATTCCAATCGCGACATCCATTGACTAACAGTCTCTACAAAAAACACATTGGTTTATATTGTTTTACTACTGTATATTTTGTGAACAAACACTACAAATCCAGGTCGAGCATTTCTTTAATGAGGTCGAGCATTTCTTTAATGCCTTGGAAGGCTAGGGGATTGATGCTCGGATTTCAGGTCTTAGCAAGTTGCGCCATGGCATCCAAAGGCAGCGGCAAATGCCTCAGTTGAAACTTGAGCAGAATGGGTTTCCAAAATGCCAATGAACCTGATGAGACATTCATTGTTCAAGTCCAACTAAACTCTCCTGGGTAGTGGACTCATTCCTCATGTTCAAGTCCGCAACTTCCCGCCACTACCCCCTCTTAACCTGCCGCTTCTCCAAACAATACTGACCAACAAATAAGGATTCCACGCCCGAAAAACCTTCGGAATCCAGGAAGACCAACACCTGACGACCGCCAAGCCACACCCCGTTGGCCATGAGCTCTGCGTCCGTGTAGGAGTCCAGAGTGACCGTGTGCTTCACGGTGCTGGTGAGATCCGTCCAGTCGGAGTTCTCGAAAATCATCACCTCTTGGATTTGTTGCGTGGCTCCCAGAGGAAAAAAACGCTTGCCGCCCCAAAGGATCCCCAACAAAAAGCGCCCGTCAATATACCATACAAATCCATACAGTATATGGATGTCTGGGAGACCAAATATACGTATACATATACACAAAATATTGCCCGGGTTCGGGGATTGACCCAGTTCCGGGAGACATAAAAGATAGACATTAACCAAAATCACCTGAATGCTGCAAAACCAGGTCACACTTCCAGCAGGATCCACCAGACTTGTGTCATAGTCACCCTCACCTCGTCGCGAGTCGGAAAGAATTCAATGTGCAAATGTTCCTTACTGTCCTGCACCATATACGTCGTGCTGAATCTTCATTGATGTATCTGTATCAAATGTCTTAGCAAGGGGGATCAAACCCTCACCTTGTATAGTTGAGTATATGTTGCTATAATCACTTGCTGATGCCTGCTACTTCCAAGTGACCCTCATTGCCCACGGCCAGCTTGGTACAATCGCTGTTTGGAAGGATCATGTCTGGCAAAGGCCCCGCCGTCAGGCTTCCACGGCTCATGGGCGCTGCGGGAGAGCTTCGGTCCACAGTGCTCAAGACATGGACCGTGCCCGGCTGCGTTTTGTCCGATGCGCCAGAGCCAATAAACATCAGGCCTGAATCGGCCGGGCAAAAGTGGAGGCAAACAACATACACCATGAACCACACTATTGAATGGTTGGTTAAAACCAAAAAAACAATCCTCTTCTAAACAAATGTGTTGGTCTTGGTAGAGACACTAGAGAAACTAAAGCTTGAAGAAAGTTGTGATCAAACATGGCTGGTTGTCATCTTAATTGCAAAGGAACCCAGCCTTTCTCGGCACAAATCTCAATATCCGTCAGCTTGGCACCTTGAAAGTCATAGGCCAAAGCAGAATTGACCTGCAAAAACGTGGGTTCAAAGTTGAACACTTTGGGCATGGACAAATTGTGTTCCTGCAAAGAATGGATTGAACACTTTGGCAACCTCCTGAGGGTTTGAAAAACGATGACACTGGCTCAGGGCCTGAGGGTTGCTTGGGTCATTCCAATCAATGACGTTCAGGACACCTTGCTCTGAGATGGCGTAGGCGTACCTAGGGCGGGCATTTCAAGAATATCCACAGGCAAGACTGAGCTGTTGATGACTATGACTAAGTCTTCAACCATCCTGTCCATCTTCCAAGCGGATCAGGTGTGGTGTACCAAAGGTTGTCTGTGTATATTGTATCCACTCATAATCAGCAAAGCTATATAACTGCATAATACTGCATCTCTCTATATATATATATACAAGTAGGAAAAAACTGCTATTATAGCATGATGGAACGAATCACGGAAAACCCTTCTCACCAGTAACAACCCCCGATTCAGGACCAAATGGACACATCCACCCTCTCTGCTGAAACATTGTGGCAAGTGTTTGTTGAAGGGGATTTACCCATCACCCTAAGCAAAACCAGTGGTACATGGAAGGGATTGCCAAACACATCCTCAAACTGTTTCCAAGATACTTCTGGACATGGTCATAGGCGATCTGCTCGGCTGCACCCATGCCAAAAGCCAATGAATTTGCTGCCGTGTTGTAGGGAATGAAGACCTTGAAGACAAGTCAAGAGTAGATGTTTTGGTCATCGCATTGACCGGGAGACAACCAGATGCGTCGCAATTAGATCCTATAGTACTATAGCATTTGTATAAGAGCCCATCCAAGGAACCGAACCCAAGAGAGTGTTAAACATGTGGGAAGCGAGCGAATTACATGAACTCGCCCGAAAAAATCCGATGCGATCCGAAATGTACCGGTGAACATCGCCATCAGACGTCTTCATCTGGACATGCGATCCACCTGAACATCGGCAGCTTGGGGTGAACCGTTCATGGGGTGAGACGGTGAGAAGACTCGACGTCAAAGACTGAAAGCCTGTTCCGAAAGATTCCAAGGCGGACATTCGATGACCTTCGTGAATTCTGGGCTTCCAGAGCTCCATCTGAGTTGGGTTGTAATCCTCTGGTCTTGCACCCAGTGACAACACGTGACAACATACGGTCCGGTGTTGAATCAAATGCTTGGCACCGTGACCCTCGAGCAGAAAAGAACCCCTTCGTTAGCACCAGGAGACCCTGGAGGTCCGGCTCTGAAGAAACCGAGGCACACGGGAGACCATGGTGAAGCTCGTGGGGGTGGAATGGCTGCTGCTGGTGTCCATCGAGGGTGTGCCACCCAAGCGTCTAACCTTCCCCGCCACCGAGAAGTTCAGGAGGGCGAGCAAAAGCAAGACTCGTGTCATGGCTGAGATAAGACTCGTAGGGCGAAGCTGGGCGAAGCGAAGTCTTCTTGGGCCAAAACAAACTCCGACAAAAGCAAACACATCAATATCATTCAATATCCTTATATATGAATCCATTGCCACCCTCTTTTTGAGGGTAAGCATGGTGTCTTCACCTATATGTGCCACATGTAGGCACCAGGTTGTGCCTAAAAGGTGGCCGCGGAGCTGTCAAGGTGTCCCTGGAGCTATCCAATGGGATGCATCTTTTGAGCACACTTGGACCCCGTAAAATCTGTTGTATCCAAAATGGTCCAAATACTTGAACAGGCTGCAAACTACAGTACCAAATAGAGTGAGATTTACAGTAAATAGACATCATTGATGTGATATCAAGTTTAATCCAAGGGCAATTGTACCATCTACTTTCAGCCTGGTGTCCAACAACAAAAACATAAAATATACTCTGTCACTTGATCAGCCCGCACGCCTCCACAACTGAGAGTCGTGGTTTCTCAGCTTTGACCCGTTATTGGTAGGGGATTCAAGCAAGCTACTGTAGACTATAGACATCGATCTATAGACTATAGATACTATTGGCCAGAAGATCCACAACTATAGACTATAGACATCTATAGACTATAGCCGGTAACCAGTTGGTTCGCTGACCGAACGAGCAGCCCCTGGTTTCACGAGCACCCATGCGGCAGCTGGTTGACACACCGATGCTCACGCGCCCTTGACAATCCTTGGGGCCCGACCTGTGGGTTTGATCCAGTTCCATTCACTTGGGGGGGGTTCCCCTCTATATACCAACCAACCAACTCAACCAACCAACCAGTTTAAAGGCAACCGACCCCGCCCCATCCGGTTTTTCGTGTCCGGTTCTGGCTCTTCGTCACTGTCTCACCCTCGCTTCGTCTACACCGCACCGATGTCCGGCCTGATAGAGTCGGCTGAGGATGGGAGGTGCTGTCTTGGAGGTTTCGCCTGCAGAGCTTCGATGAGTTCGATGGTGTGACCGGCATATGTCAGGCTAGCCAAGCAGGGCTGAAACAACAATCAACGGGTAGGGGTGACCTTCTCAGATGGCTTCGATGCGACTCAAAAAGAAGCTGTCGCTTTGGCAGCTCGAAGTTCGGCCGCTCGGCAGCTGAACGGACTTTGAACACGTCCGGGTCCTTGGGGATGTGAGTGTGCCTTGGGTGGCTATTATTCTGGATGGGTTTGTCCAGCTTGGAGCGGGGAAGAACTACGGTACTGTTCGATCCTGCTCAGAGGATGTCATGAAGAAAGATCGCTGTGGTCTCAATAGAAATGCAACCCAGTTACTTCTGGCAACTTAATTCATGGAGCAGGAGAACAATTCATGGTGGGTAGCAATGTCAAACTTGCGAGCCATTATTGGGCACTTGGATGATGTCCGTGACATGGTGCATGTTGGCCTATACTTCTGTATAATATGTAATCCTATACACCACTATAGGACAAGAGTTTTTCATCTTGCAGGTGCCAAAGTCAAAGCCCTCTCTCCCCTCAATCCTGCAAAGCACTTGTGTCACCTGACACAGTTGAATTTCACAGGATAACTGGACCCGACTTCAAGTGCCTCAGAAAATGGTACACGACCTGAGCCTGAACAAAAACATCTATATACTTATATATATATATATACACATACTGTATATATCATATATGAGTGTTTTTTTTTTTTCCGATGTTATATATGTTTACCTTTGTTTACCTGAACAAAAACATCTTATACCCAGTTTCCCAGGTACAAGTACCAGTCGGGGTCCAGGTACAAGTACTTGACCGTCACACCCTGCCCATGGACTGATGGACTGATCCGCATGGAGCCCGGTAGGAAGGAAATAGACGTTCTTCCTCCTGAAGTATGGCATGGATTGGCCTTCCCACAAACCAAGCTTGCACTTCTGGGTGCAGGGACCCATCTTGGACATCTTGGGGGTTGTGGCTATGGTTGGTATATATTCATCTGTATGCCAGTGTATCCCAGATTGGCCTTCATTCTCTGAAGGCTGAAATCCTGAGCCTCCAGTTTTCACCATCATGTGAAACATGTCTTTTTCCAGGTCATGTCATGTAGGTCAAAACTCTTTGTCCATTGAAACCGCCTTCCAAACCTTTTTTCGGGGAGCCATAGCATATATATAATATATATACATATACAGTACATACTACAAACACCATCTCTCTCCAGCCCTGAAGAAACCCTGATGAAACGACCTCAAACACGCGCGTCGGTGGCGCCTTGCTCGAACTTCTGCCGTGCGAGTACGCGCCGCATGAACCAGCCTTCGACCTCAAGAAACGTCAGAATAGCTCTGGAGAGTTTAGAGTTCAGTGATGCGGTTGAGGTGAGGCGTCTTGGGACGTTATGGATTGATGGATGGATGGATGGATGGATGGAGGGAGGTAGGTAGGTATGTATGTTTGTGCCTTGCTAAATGATTTTGTTTGTCGGCCCAACAAAAACACTTCAGAACTTGGAGTTGAACTCTTGGCCAACTTTCAAGACAATCATGACAAAGAGCAAGGGACAATGGACCTTCTACTGCAAACCACTTCTCTACAAAGAGTGACAAACCACCGATGTCACGGCAAAATCCCTATATATACAGGTCCATATCTGGCACTGAAAACAGTTGTGTTTCTGATTGTTTTGGTCAATTACTGTATGGCATGGTCAACTCCAGTCAAAATGAGCTCCGTTCCCTTCCCTCTAGGATATAACTTAATCAAAATTCTGGACTAGACCAGGTCCACCAACTGAATGCTCCGTTCCGCTGTGGGACCATCGTTCCAACCAGCGCCTTCGGTCCCCTCCGCCGAGCGACCATGGCCACTCGTGCGGCCGTGCTCAAGGGTTGACCGGTCGTGTCCTTGGACAGCACGTGCCTCTCCTGGCGGCAGAGACGGAAGAGGCTCCCACGGTCGACGCGATGTGGTTTCATTCTCAACGTCGATTCGGATGCCATGTTGGTGGTTTGGGCCATGTTGGGTCATGTTCATGCAGTCTTGGATAATGACAGCGAGTTACTGTAATTGGAGATTCTATTAGAACTGGTTAAGCTATAGAATAACTAACGAACAACAGCGTTTGATTTAGTGTGGACTTCAGCAAGTTGAATACTTCTGACCCAGACTTCGTAGACAAATGATCAATCTGATGCCTTGAAGCGGTTTTCTCCAAATAAAATCTATGATGGCAGTGTCTTTGTCACCCCAAGGGCTACTAGATCTTGCAATCTCTTTCCATCGATTCTGGATAATAACATCATTCAAGTCGTCCGACAGGGTCGTTGTTACGCGAGACTACCCGCGAGTATATACACCCTATAGGGATCCACTGTCACCCTTTCAGTAGGTACGACTGGGCCCTCCTTGTGTCTACAATAGTCTCCAATCCCCTTCTCAGAAGGCTCTTTCCAGGCACGGACCTCAGCCTAAATGGCTCAGCTCTGGCCCCGGCACCACCCCGGCACCTCTCCCCCCAAACACCCACCCTCTCGCCTGCGCCTTCAAACCGCCCAGCACGGGAATTTTGGCGTTCCGGTTGGAGGCCGAGAGATGCTCTTCCGAGAAGATCGACCTACGCACCGAGCCCGAGCGAAGTGGGAGACCAAAGTGCGACGAGTGCGAGTCGACCGGTGCGAGGTCCGAGTCGAAGGCAAAGGGCGAACCGACCCTTGGAGGTTGTAGACATTTCGGATGCGCTGTGCGAGCAAAAAGGAAATGGTCCTCCATGAAGGTTGGTTTGATTTGAATTCGACCATTCATTTAGTGGTGTTGTATATGTGTTGATGCGTGCTTTTGGCTTGGCCTTTGCTTGGCTGATGCGGAGAAATGCGGTGCGAAGCGTGTGGAGACCACTCGACAGAGTTCTGAGCAGTCGAGCCCATGGACGAGGCGAACAAGTGGACCAAGTGTTGGACAGTGGACACGCCATGAGACCGTGACACCCCTACCCCTTCTTTTCAGTCAGCTCCTTTCCACTGTCCAACAAACTCCTACCCTTTCTTTTCAGTCAGCTCCTGCTGTCAGCCCCCACCCCGTCTTTCAAATGGAACTTGTTTGTTCTGCTTTTCAGTCAGCTCCTTTCCACTGTCCAACAAACTCCTACCCTTTCTTTTCAGTCAGCTCCTGCTGTCAGACCCCACCCCTTCTTTCAAATGGAACTTGTTTGTTCTGCTTTTCAGTCAGCTCCTTTCCACTGTCCAACAAACTCCTACCCTTTCTTTTCAGTCAGCTCCTGCTGTCAGACCCCACCAGCCTCTCACTGGAAGGTGGAGTGACATGCTTCCGATCTGAAGCAGTTCTTCGACATAAAGGCCGGTACAATCCTTAAAAAATCACAACGATAGACGAAACATGGAACATGACACAAAATAAGTACCAAGCTAAGCAAAACATGACAAAACATGGAACATCATATGGAACATCACACACACAAATTCATAGTTCTCCATCCTTCTCTTCCCAATTGGACCCCAAAAGGGACCGACCCAGTCTCGACCGGCGCCTCTCGGAAAACCAGGACGTCGAGGGTAGCGGGGGCGGCCGACCTGGTGCACTCCCCGTCTCGACCGGTGCGGCGACCGTGGCGACCGGGTGGCGGCCAGCCCGAGCCCCCGTTTCGTAGCGGTCCGAACGCTCCGGTTCGGTTCGCGATGCCCTTGGCGCGCGGCGATGTTTGTAGCTTCCTCCTCTTAGCTACGTAGTAAGGCCAAGGGTGTGGGGGAGCGGAATGGAGGATTGGCACCCACCCGCTGGGTACGGATGGTTTTGTAGATGACGTATAGATGTATTGCTACGGTAGGGCCCTGAAGGGACAGTATCATCTGTGGCAGATCTTCAGGCGAAATGAGTACTCAGAAAACTCAGGAAGGTATGGCATGGGTTCCAAAAAGCACTCGCGTGGTTCTGTTCCCATGCATCCAGATCCCTGACGCAGTGCCCTAGCCACTAGCCTTCAAAAACCATTCAAATAGCTGGGTGGACCTGGTCTGGTGTTGCAGTCAATAATCCTTATAATTGTGGCTATGCTATAGTCCCTATATAGAGCTCCTGCCGTACCTCCTCAGAAGGTATCACAAGGTATGAGTGGCACCCTCCTGGCACCCACCCCAGTCCCACTTTCAGAATTAGGGAGTGAGTATAAACCATTTTGGTTCGGTTCAAAACCATTCAATCAATGCAGGGCGACCACGGTCGCCTCTCAAGTCTTTGGGGCTGAATCAGCCAACATGGATGTCCGGTGGGCGTCCTGGGTTCTAGTGAGATTTCCTCTCCAAGACCCAGGAAAAAATACGAAGAAATAGAACACATCTACCGACATCTACAGTTAGTTACCGGGTTCACCCCAGTTTGGGTGGTCATTTGCTCAGCTCACAGTTGGGTCTTAGCGACCAGATTCACCAGGTCGGGACCAAATGTATCACGCCGCCGCGAGCTGCATCACCGTTGATGGGATTCTCCACCCTGATCAGAACCCCTCCTTGAGGATGGCGGACCAGTCTGGTGGTTTGTTTTTGCTTTTGTGTGTGTGTTTTTTTCTTCCGGCTCAAGGGCTCAAACATCCCGAGACCATTGACCCCATGTCTATCATGGTCTATCCATTACATGCAAGATTATGCCAGTAACTATATTCATTAACATTGACATGGATGGTCAGCGTCCTGGTGTTTGTGCTGTCCCAAAGTTCGATCGTCACAAACTTAGGTGGCTTCAATCCAGAAAGCAAGAAACGGCCAAGCTCTGACAGTGACTTCGTGTTGTTCCAACATTGAACAACCACACCAATTCTGGTTGAAATGTGTGCCTTCATCTGGACTGAGCAGTGCTAAAAAACGTTTGACACATCTTGGAAAACGATGGAAGGCTTGCACAATTGCGGCTTGCGGCTGGCGCTTGTTTGCGGTTGACGCTTGCACTGTGCTGAAGCGCATTGAACGTTGCAGCTGAGCTTGTGTGCTTCAACGTGCTCGGGTGTTCTGAGACCCGAACAACGGACCGAGGTGAGGTCGGGAACGCGACTCATCTGCCTTTCTTGGAACAGAGTATAGGATATATAGGTGATTATAGGTGTGTATTTCAATAGGGACTCCCCCCACCAATGGGTTGTGTGGTCTATGTTCCATCTTCCAGGGGGTCGTTGGGAGGTCTCCCTAATTCAATACACCCATAAAATAGCGCAGGCCGGTATTTTGGCCGGTACAGTTGCTAAATGGAAGAACTGCTGCTATTTGCTGCTATACTTTGGAGTTTCTTAGTTTCTTCCCAGAATACTGGCTGGTACTATAGTTGCTTGGGGGCCTTTGAACGTGTCCCCTTCACAGAATGATTTTGCACATGATTTTCTGAAACCAGTAGCTTCCGAATTTTGGGGTTCCATATAACACCCATCGCATTTTTGAAGCTCCTCATCCCAACGCTAGTCCCAACGCTATTTGACTGGGCAAACACAGTATCGAACCCCAAACGTTGCCAGTTCGGGTGGTTTCTAGACTCTCTTGCAACAATATAGTTATCTATATATAGCAGGAGGTGCTTTGAATCCAATCACTACCCCAGCCATCTGACTAACTAACTGGTGCCCCAAAAAACCAACAGCAGCTTCTTTGACTGCTCCGCTCGCTCCGCGGTCCTCGCTTTCCTCGGGTCTCCGGACTGAGGCGGGCCTTCGCGGGCACCAGATTGTCCAAGTCATGGTCTCGACCTCGGCTTCGGTCGGCGTCCAGACCCCTGGGGGCGCCAACCAGGGGGGCCTGAAAACCGAGATCATGCAAAGAGCCAAACAATCAGGTGGTCTTTACGGGTTAGTTATCAAGCTACTACTACTACTACTACTACTACTACTACTACTACTACTACTACT